GCACCGGTGGCACTGTGTGGCAACCCGCTGCTTTCGCTGCAGCTCTACTCGAACCACGAACGAGCAGCAGCGGGTACCTTCAGGATGTCCTCCTGGTCCTGTGGGGCCTGAACTAGGACCAGGGGCATTTCCTGTTTATTTTGACGGCTCGCCATGCGGATAAAGAGGGATAATCCCCCTCGATCCCAAATCATTGAGGTCAATTTCTAGCCATGGAATAATGGTGCACTATTGCGCCGGGGAACCCTTGTCGTGTGAGCTTGAGTTGGACCTCACTTGGCGAAACACCCGCAAGTATTCCGCTTATCACCACCCTCAGCGTTTTTTCTTCGCTGAGGGTGAAGGTGTGGTACTCCTCGCCTTTGTCTGTCAGTGTCTTTGTCAATAGTGGGGATATGGCTATACCATCTTTAGTCAATTTGGCTTTTGTGTAGTTAATGTTAAGTGTCGTGAGTATTTTTTGTACTTGCGTCCACCGTTCCTGCTTTCGCAAGATTACCGGGGGGACTTGTTTGGTTTTGTCTGTCTGTTTTTGTGTGTTTTGTGCGGTATTTTGTATGGCGCTTGTGGAGGGTGTAGGTGTCGGGGGGCGCGTGTTTGGTGTTTGTGGTCGTGTTTTGTTTGTTTTGTCTGATTTTTTATGTCTGGGGGCTTCGTCCTCGCTAGAGTATTCCGCTGTGTGTTTTTTGCGTTTCTCTGTGCGTGTGTGTGTGGGGTGTGTGTGTGGGGGTGTGTGTGTGTGTGTGCCTGTCTGGGGTATATTGTCTGTCATTTGTTTGTTGATGAGTGCCGAGTTTTTGGTGTAATTTAGTGGTGTTTTCGTCCGAAAGTTTAATTGTTTTTTGCAAATCGACGATTTGCTGTGTCATGGTTAGTATTTGTTGGTATTGTCGGGTGTTTTGTTCTGTCAGTTCGTATATTTGTTGTTTTAGCGTCTCGTTTTCATGTTTTTGTGATAGTAGCTGTTCGTATAAATCTGTTTTAGTGGTCATGTTTATTTGGTGAAGCGGAGACTCTTGAAGAGGGTCTTTCGCTGTCTGTATCGTCCATGTATATGTATATGTTTTCCTCGTTTTCATAGTCCGACATTTTGCGCGTGTGTGTGCGTGTGTGAGGGTGTATAACTGTCAGTCGTGTGGGGATGCCCCCTTACGGGGGCGTACGTGTCTTTTGGTGTATTTGTCTGTCTAGTATGTTGTTTGTCGGGGGTCGCAATTTTAAAGAAATGTATTCTAAAATAATGCAAATAACTGATAAATAAAGTAAAAACTTACCTGGGCGGCACAAGTACCTGTAACAAAGATGCCGACGGCCTCTATGCTTAAGCCGGGGATTAGGTCGGTGGTTAAGAGGAAAGAAAAGGATTCTTTCCAGGTAGCCTTAATAAATGCAGGTAGATTTTGCTCGTTGCAATGCACTTCACTTCACAATAAACACGTCCGCTCAGTTCGGCCGCTCGCTCGAGAATGAGTATGCAACCAACTTAACAAGAAAGTAATTTTAATTAATTTATGTAAATATTGCAGAACTCTAAATCTTGGGAAATTTTTCATCCCACACAGGGAATCTATTTTTTTGTATTTTACGGCTGTGTTTTGTTTCCTTAAAAATAATATGGCAAGTACGAGTAAAAGCAGCATTCATCAATCATGATAGCTCGGATACTGAATCGGAAAGGGGAGCAAAGAGATTTCAAAATGTGAACAGGCAAGAAACAAGAGTGCAAAAATATTGAGGTGAACGGGAAAGCACTACTGATTTTAAATTTTTAAAGGATTTCAAAGATGAAAGTGTTGGTATTCATTTTGAAATGAAATAATTTTTTTTAGATTCTTTAGTTAAATTGTTGTTTTTTCGAGGGTTTGCTTGATTTTTCTAAAATGTTCAGTTTTCACGAAAATAAACAAATGTGCATTTTTTATTTTAAAGAAATACTTATTTGATTTGTAATATAATTTTCTCCTTATACCTTCATCGCCCTCCTGTGGCATCACTGGTGTAGTCTGTATTATATGTTTTGTGGTCTCCACCACCATATACCGAGATGCATAGATAGAGAGTATCGAGATGCAACTAATCTGGGATTATTTTGAATGCTGATTGGTCAATTAAAGTGAGATAACTGAGATGAAGATAAATAACATAGGTCTTATATAAGTTAAAAAAGTTTGTTTATTTATTTGACTTTGGTTCTTTTACCCGCCTAACCATTAACCAAGAGACATCAAACTGTCATTAATTTGTCATTGGTTGGTTAAGTATTAACTAGTTAATAAGTTTTTAATAATTTTTCAGTTTTCTTTATGGTAAAGTAGTTATTAATAAAGAATACGTAATAATATTATTTTCCTTCGTTAAATAAAAACATTCTCATAACAAATGAAAAATAAAACAAGTGAATGCAAGTGTTTCAAGTTCATCAACAATCAAGTTGCTCTACTTTCTACTTACGCTTAGCCGCAAGAAAAACGCTGACATGCAGTAAGAATCATGAATTAAAATGTTGGGAATATATAACATATTTCAATAATTAGGGTTCAAAGAAACGAGAAGAATCACAATTATGAATTAAAAAGTACTTATCCTTCATAACTATAACTCGTACCTATTGTATTACTTACAAGAGGAGGGAAGAACCAGATTTTGATATATAAAATGTTTACTGTAAAGTGTTGGGTGCCCCACTGTAATGCTTCCAAGGATTTGGAACCTAATCGGAGTTTTTTTCCATTGCCAAGAGACCACAAGTTCAAAGAGACTTGGTTGGCTTTAACAGGAAAAAAACTAATTTCAGAAGAACAGGTCTATTTTTGCAATATTCATTTTCGTGTAAGGGAATAAACTTATCTGTGTTCTGTGTTATAAATTGATGTTGGTGCATTCCTTTTAGAGATCAGCTCTTGAGATAGTAATGGGTAAAGTTATAGGGTTGAAATCGAGAGCTTTACCTTACTACGGAATGCCACAAATGATTTGTAGGACTTGTATGACTACTATAGCGAGTAGTGCTCTCTTCTGTGTTGTCAGTGGAACAATACCTAGTCCAGTTCCACCTGAGGTAAGATCCAAACATTTAAATTAGTCTAACACACTTAGGGCAATCGTTAGTAAACGTCAGATGATTTTTTTTTCATTTTTACCTTAGACTTAATAATTATAAATACATACATTAAAAAATAGTTATCTTCATAAGTTTCGGGGATAATATATAGCAGCGTGGAATATATTTATGTGTTGTATAACATCTTGAGTGCATGCATAGAAGCTGCAGTGGAAACATTTATAAATTATGTTTTGATCCATTTTTAAATTCAAAAAGGAAGATTAAAGAAAAAGAAATATAGCTAATTTGACAAATGACACTAATGACAAGAGATAAAACAGGTTTGCAGTATAGAGCATTATATAAAACATACTACTAAAATTGGTGACCACTATTCGATGATGTTCAATGTAGCAGTTTGGTCATTTACCAAATTCCAATAACTGTTGCTAACTTAAATTTAATTTTTTTTTAATGTTTGCCATTTATTCCTGCTTATTCCAATTATTTCATTTAATATGGATTCCTGAAATAAACATATCTGCAAGCTCATGACATTTTGAACCTTTTTATAATATAGGGAGCAATGTTTGTTTTGTTTAATTTATTGTAGGTTCTTACTTATTACAAATTTTTCTATATTTTTTTAGCTTTGTCCAATAATCACAGAATTAAAAAAAAGAGAGCAGAAATCGAATATGAAGCATTGGACAGCAAAGCTAACATTTCCATGAGAAACTACAGAGACGACTGTCTCTGAGAACTGTTCTTCTTTTTGCTCTAAAAATAACAAAAAAAAGCAAAATAGATAATTTAAAAATTCGTTTTTTTTTTTCTAAAAATGTTCATAACTAAAATACATTTAGATATATAATTACGCCATTTCAATGGTTGCCTGATGACGCAACAATTTTCTAACTTCAGCCACCCTGTATCTCACTGTGTTCACTGTTCAATATCCCTGTGATAAACATCCTTATCCAGGACACAGGTATATCTATTTTAAAAAATATTTTTTTGTCAATATTTTTCTGATAGTTTTATTTGTAATATAACCACTGTATTTTACTTGATGAACGATGGATAAAATCATACTATTAAGTATTACTATTTCTTATATACAGAGTGTCTTGTAAAAAATATTGCAATATTTTATTATTTGATTCGATCTTCAACAATAAAAAATTAGCATAATAGTGTTAGAAATAATGCAATAAAACTCGGAAATATTGCAAAAGATTATAATTAAATTAACTTCAAACAGTTCGTTTTTCGTAGTTGGTGTATATCTAATGAATGCCTCAAGTCAGTCGTTATTCCCTCTAGCCAGAATGTTTATTATTCTTCCCCTTTGGCTTCAGGTCGGGCACACTTAGATGACTAGATGACTCTCAGTGTTTATGTCCGAGATTGGGCATCAGTCATCACTTTCCCTCAATAACTTCCAAAATACTACAAAGTAGCACTTAGTTTCATTTTTTCCAGGTTCATATTTATTGAAAATAGGATAGGTTAGGATGAATATAAATAAATATTTAGATCTTTATATCTGAACTACGTTGTATTAACAAGGGTTGTAGTATATGCTTAACTTAAATATTTTTAAAGGTTATTCCTATTTGATTCTCTCATATAAGTGTGTTTATGTTACAGGGTTTGTTTATTCCCTTGTGCCTAAAGCATTTTAAACATTTCCTAGGCATCCAATGATGAACACTTGTGTAAACATTATTTAGTGGAGCAGGCTAAGAAAATAAAATGAATTAAGTACCTAGTTTCATTTTTGTATTGATACATTCAAAACCATAACAGCAGGTCATTGTTTTGGAATGGAAAGATCTATATTTTTGTATTTAACCTTTATTTAATCGTTTCTAATTTTCTGAAGCAATGGATAAGTTAATTTCAACATATTAAATTTAATGCAGAAGCTTAAAGGCATTTATTTCTGTTAATTTGATTGTTTCCATGATACTTTTGACAATTGTGTTGAAGTGTTCAAATTACTAAGTGAATATCTTATTTTCTCAAAAATTGTTGGCAAAAATTGAGGCAAAAATCATATATTGTTCACAAAAAATCTGTCAGTCATCTATATCAGATGAAATAAAAAAATATACAGGGTGTCACCTAATGAATGTTACATATTTCAAGGGTATAATTTAGAACCCAAATGATGTCAATTTAACCAAACTTGCTTGCACGAAAAATGTCGCAAAAAAGTTACAGGGTGTTAAAAGTTTCTTATTTATTTCTTGTTTTCTCCTTAACTCAGAACCCAGTTAAACGATTTAAGTAAAATTTGCTGTTGCTTAGTCTTCTTGAAGTATGCAGTGATTATGTTCTTATTAAGTTAAATCATACAGGGCGTTCATTTTACTACAACCCTTTGTGAATATTCTTCTGTAACTTTTTTGTACAGTTTAAATTTTTACACGCAACTGTCAGAGATAGGTAGAGAATTTTATTCTACACAAAAAATGTATACCTATCAAAATTCGAAATCATGCTCATTTATGAAGATATTAGGCACAGAAAATATTTATTAACATCTTATATTTCTTGGAAATAACTACGTATTCATAAAAACCAATAAATAACATAATTAATAACATAATAAACTGAAAGGTGGCAGTAATAAAAAGTCTACTAATTTATAAAAAATGTTCTACGTGTCCCCCATTCTCGTTATCAAAACCCTTCGTAACTGCGAAAGGTCCCTTGTATCGTGACTCAAGTTTTCTACTTTGACCGTCATTTATTATCCATTACACATCGGAGAAGCACATGTTGTCCTACGTCAAACGTTTTTGGTGACGCATACTTCTTACGTTCTTCATAATTTTCTTTTTAATATTTTTGTTTTTCCTTAACTGAACGAGAGGCGTTATCTCTCATACTATCCAGATCTGGACGTTCATCGTCACATACAGCGGCTGCCAGAAAAGCAGCCTTAATGTTTCTGGGTCTATAGCCGAAAAATAACTCGTATGAACTTCTTCCTGTGGTAAAATTAATCGTTGAATTAATTCCCCATTGCACTTGACTTACAACTTCGTCCAAATGGTTTTCGTCATCACTTAAAGCCGTCAGGGCAGAAAGTATTGTGCCATTGTTCCTGTCAACCTGGCCATTAGCTCTTGGAGTTGATGTAGTCTACAACACGTTTGATGCCCAACTTCATACATCAATTTGTAAGATTCTTGCTTGTATAAGCAGGGCCCAACTTCTGCCAGTGTAGTGACGAAACAGTGTCTGTACTCGTTCCTAATCGTAACAAATTAAACTGCTCGTGACTAGATAATTCTGGATTTATTTGAGTTTGTATGTCATTCAATGTAAACTCCTTCGACGATGAGATGGTTGTCTGTAAGCAATCCACTGACTCGCCCTGTACACCCTTACAACGTATAAAACCCCTTGCGACTACCCTGTACTGTTCGTAACAGATTGGGTGGTCAGACATGTTTCTTATAGCAAGATTACCTCCTTGTTTTAATTTCGTGAAACAGGAATTCAATTTCAATTATGTGAAAATTATTTGCCTATAAACTGAAATTGATGCACATAATTTGGTGGAATGACAGGGAGGGGTCTCATTAGCACATAGGTTTATTTTTCTAGTCCTTGGTCATTTTGTTCAACTTGAAATAGATCAAATTTGGTTATCACGGACTACAACAACATTCTTATTGTTTTCGTAATTAGAGAATTTTGAATCATTAAACTGATTGATCAGAGCAAATCACAGTAGTACAAACAGGTAAAAGTGGTTCCAACAAAACTGACAAATTTTTATATTAAAAATACACAACCAAATGGAAAATAGTAACTGAAAATAAAGCATTACAGAATTATTGTCATTTAATGCAAATTATAATTATTCAAAAATGAAACTAATATTTTTTATACCGGAAAACTATCAATCCTCAACAAGATTCAAATAATAGTAAATTAAATTTAATTTAGTTTTTCAATAAATTTTTACATTGCTAAATTAATTTAAAAAAGCTAATATTTTATTAATCTATTAGTTGATTCAAACAGAAAAAGATTTGACTTGTCAAAAGCTTTCTATTTTATTCTATTTCATTATTTTGTTTTTTCTCTCACCCCGATTCACTTATAAGTCACGTTTTTTAACCAATCTCACTTTTTTCTCTTATTCCTTAATAATTTACTATTGTTTTCTATTTGGAAAATTTGTTGTTGTCAATTGCCCTAGTGTTACAGGCCCATTGAAATTATTAAAAAATGTTTGTTTTTGTGTTTCTTTGTAGTATGAAATAAACGTGATCCAGTGTCGTCCAGAACCCCTGTATCAAATCCTCACTTTCTGCATACCCAATTTGGTGAGTTTAACTTTAATTATTTTGTAAAATAAAACATCCAAAATTACTTTCAGAGTTTGGAGCAAAACCCTCCATCTCTCATCTGTATAAAATGTTACCAAAGTGTTTGGCAGTACTTCGTATTCAAATTAACATGTAATTCCCTTCAAAATCGGGTTCGGGGCAATCTCAGTCTAGAAGAATATGGCAAGCTAGTCTTATGCCGTGGTTGTCCGACGACTTCAGGCACCAGATTTTTCATATTGCAGGAGACCGAACCGATGGGCCAGGTGTTTAAGAATATGTTCCTTACTAGTTATCCTACAGTAAGTCACTTATTTTCTATCTCCCGTGTTATAAAAATATTCTTTTCAGCATATCGTGCCACTGAAGCTATGCCTCAAGTGTTGGAACTTACTTTTCAAGTTGACTCAGTTCAACCAACAATGCCTGGCATTGGATCAAATAATTCAACGTTGTACGGAAATCAATCAGGTGCAACTTTCTCTTCCAAGAGATAACACGACACAGTCCCTTCAAAATCTAATTGAAACTTCTCCTTCTACCAGTAAATGTTCTAGTGACTTAAATACTAGTAGTTTTAATAAGTTAAGTGACGTAAAGACGACTCAAAAAGTTAAATCAGTGGAAAAACTTGAGGAAAAATACAGTGGAAAGAGAGATTTTAGTAAAGTTCTTGAAGTGGATCCTGAAATGCCTAAGCTTGTGCCCCAAGTTGAAGTTGAATCTGAGACGAAACCTAAACCTGCCACGTAAGTATAAACAACAAAAAAAAGTAGGTGCATTTCAACTATAGTAGGATCATATTCGATGCAAAGTAATATCATTGCCTGTCAAGAGAACCAATGCAGTACACATTTAAGGGTTTTAGAAATTGAATAATTTCTTTATACATTATGAATGGACGAAGGAATCAGTTCACGTTTGGCATCCTTGTTCCTACAAAAATTCCTTTATTCTCATAAACTATTTATTTTAAATGTAATTTATTATAAATCCAATTTGTTTTTTACATTCCACATATGTACTATATTTTACCTCTGAACACGCCACTGTTGTTTCCTTGTTTTTTGGAGGTGCTCTCTGATTTACGAACGAGCTCGCCAGGTTAGTATTTGACGTATAACCAACCACTTCGTACACTCGATGCACCTGGGCGACTACAGCTACTACCAGAATACAGTGCGTATGCAGCGGTATTTCAGATTTTACATTCAATTTCATTTTAAATTTGAAATAGTTCGTCTTACGCCTCCTAAAAATGATGACACGATTTTCCTTTGATAAAAGACCAACAACTTTTTGCTCTACATTGCATCGAATACGATCCTACTATAGTCTTAAGCTTGACACTATACAGGGTGGGCCAAAAGTACTGGAATGGCAGGATATCTATTTTACATTTAAATATGACCTTGAAATTACCATGAAGGTCAAAATCAAGGTCGAGGTGAAATATCAAAATGTCCCAATGTGGCTCAATAGTACCAAAATGGCAGAATAACCCACAAGGAAAAATGTTTTCCACAATAGTTCTAGGATTCTTGATGGGCATTGGATTTGACCTCCGTCCTGACCTCAAATTCCTATCCTCCAGTCATTTCAAGTTCAACTATGGCCACGGTCAGTTATTAGAGGTCACTAAAGGCAACAATTGGTCACTGTTGGTCATTAGTGATAATCAAAGGTAAAAGGCTGTCATTGAAGTTAATAGACAGTCTTGGGTGGTCACTGAGGCTAACAGAATATCCAACTTGACCTTGAAATGACCGGAGGATAAGGAATTTGTTCTTATGGCGGAGGACAAATCTAAGGTCACCGGTTTAGTGCCCATCAGAATCCTGGAACTATTGTGGAGAACATTTTTCTTGGCGGGTTATTCTGCCATTCTGGTACTGTTGAGCCACTTTGGGACTTTTTAATATTTGACCTTGATCTTGACCTTCATGGTCATTTTAAGGTCATGTTCGAACGTAAAATTCTCTCCATTTCTGGGGTCAAGATTGTGGCTTCCCATTAAAAAAAATTCTTGTGACCTTGATATGACCTTGAAGGTCCAGGTCAAATTCAAGGTCACCATCGGATAGTCAGGGAAAAACTCTAAACCCCTAGTGCTTTACTTGTACTCAACCCCTTGAATATTTCCAGGATATCAAAATTATAATCAGCAGTTATCAGTACAATTGATCAACATATAATAGTCAGTATCCTGCTTTTAGCAGACTGTAGAAAAATCAATTAGAGTTTTATTACTTTTTTTGTTGTTATTTTGTTACTCTATAATGAGTGAGCCTTTTACAAGAAAGTAATAAACTACTGACAAATCTTAAGTTCCTTGGCATCTACTAGAATTGTGAATTAATTTTGAGGGATATTTTTGTATATTCAACGATGTAGTGTGAATAATTGTGTACATTATTTTTCGTAGTATTGAAAGAAAAACACATCTTTTGATGCTATCCATGAATCGATCCAATTTTTTAAATCTTCGTAATACTGGAAGGGCTGCTTAGCCAGGCCCTGTTCCATGGATTGGAACAAATAATAATCCGATGGAGCAATATCTGGTGAATATGGCGGGTGGAATAAAACATCCTATTTTAGCGTTTCTAAATATTTTTTGACTTCATGAGTAACATGTGGTCGAGCGTTGAAAAATTACTATATCGTGGCTTTGCTGGAATCGCAACCGTTATTCCGTCAATGGATGCAATATAGACCATGAGCTTCGAACCATGAATACTCGGCCTTGCCGTCGATGTTGATGCATGACCAGACAAACCCTATGATTTTCTATACTTAAAATTATTATAGTGTATCCATTTTTCATCACCAGTGATGATATGATGCCAAAAACCCTTTCTTTTTATCGTTGAAGCAATTGTTCATATGTGAAAAATCACTGTTCAACATATCTCTGCTTCAATTCATATGGCACACAATTTTCGTATTTTTGAATTATACCAAGTGCATTTAAACGTTTGGAAACTGTTGTGCGATCAACATTCAACGCTTCCAATTCCTCATCTTCGAACTTTTTTGGTTGACCAGAGCGTTCTTTGTCGACCTTATCAAAATCACCACTTCTAGAACGCCGAAAACAATAGTCACACGTTTTTATCGATAGAGTATATTCACTGTAAGTTTCCAACACCACTTGTTGATCTTCGGCAGCACTTTTCATTGAATTAAACAGGTGTTTTGTTAGCTTCTAATTAGACATCTTTGGAGCTGAGAAAAAAATATGTTGTTTACACTTCAGCAAAATGTCACATAATAAAAAGTAAAACCTAATGACAGAGTTAAATCATGAATATAGTTATTGTAAATCGCTCAAAATTAATTTACAGTCCTAGTGGTAATCTGTTAGTGTTACTAATTCATTTTTGATCTGTGTCCTGCTTATTCTGATACACCCTATACAGGGTGTCCCATAAGCACATGATCAAAAAGGTACTGCGACATTCTTTGGCTCAAAAGAAGACGATTTGACCTAACTTCCATTAAGACAAAATACCTGGCTCCTCTGCTATTGACTGTCAAAGTTCTTGAAAAAAATATATGTTTTTTTGTAATATCTGGAGAATGTTACCATGGATTTTAATGAAACTTGCCGTGGACTTGTTCCTAAGTAAAACTCATGTTTTGATGAAGCAACCGCGTCCATCTGCCTTGGGCTAGTGGTAAATTCTTGAGTGTCTTGGTGCAAGAATTACCAGAACTTTTTATTTGGTAGCTGGAATTAATTCATTTTATATTTATTGATGCATCAGTCCTTTTTCGAGATTTTCGTGCTCTTGGTAAAATCTTGTAGCATTCATAGTTTTTACGCAAAAAATTTTTTTCAATTTTAGACAATCGTCACTACTGCTCAAGTACAACAACTACTCACTACCAATTGTCAATCAATTTGTTTCGAATGTCGTTTTCTAATGAAGAGATGACCGACTGATCAGTCTTAGGGTTTTGCGAAGACAACATGGGTGGGAGTGTGCGCGTCTACGCAGCGCGATACCCAAATGGACGGGTTCCAGATTACCGATTTACATGGATTGAAAAGAGTTTGCGGAAGACTGGGCAATTTGGTGTTCGAGCCGTTGTCCGTGTGGGTCGTTCTCAAGTACGAAATGCAGCTGTTGAGGGAGACGTTTTAAATAGGGTCGCTGAAGATCCAAATATCAGTAATCGCCGTCTCCGTCTGACAGTGGAATTTGGGGTATCAAAAAGTACAATTAATCGCATCATAAGACAGTAGCTCCTCCATCCTTATCATGCGACGTCTATTCAGGAGCTTTTACCACACCATTTTGAGAGAAGACTTCAATTTTGCCCCTTTATTTAAGGAGTGCGTGATCCAAATTTCACCAGCCGAATTTTATTCACCAATTACACAGAAAAAATCCCTCATGCGAGGCGTATTAACCACTTTCAGGTGGAATTTCCAATAAATGTTTGGGCTGGGATCATCGGTGACATCCTTCCGCGCCGCTTGAATAGCGAAAATTATTTAAATTTTCTGACGAACACCTTTCCGGTTCTAATGGAAGATGTCTCTCTCAATCTTCGTGCTCAGATGTAGTTTATGCACGATGGTGCTCCTTCGCACTTTAGAGCAAATGTAACTGCACATTTAAATAATACTTTTCCACACAAGTGGATCGGAAGAAGAGGGAGAGATGTTCCTGTCGAATGGCCCCCCAGGTCTCTTGACTGAACGCTGTTATATTTTTTTCTATGGGGAGCCTTGAAGAATAAAGTTTACGCTACTCCTGTCGAATCCCAGAAAGAATTATTGCGTAGAATTCAAAACAAGGCGGGCGTAATACGGAATGATCCAAAAATGTTGAGGAGGGCTCAATTCAATTTCAATCGAAGGATCCAGTTATGCATCCAAGAAAATGGGCATATCAAACATGTCTTGTAATTTCACCATCATCTATCGTATCTATGTAACTATCATCCTGTTCCAATAAAGAGAATTATGTCTTTCCTAAATACGTCTTTACATTTTTTGAGTGTAATGAAGTAAAATGATATTCAATCTGTCGCATTGCGACAGACTTTAAAATTGCGACCATTTTACTTTCAATATTGATATCCTAGGTAAAAGAATTGGCAATTATTATTAGAGAAAGCTGCTTCTTGTAAAAGGGTAGATTTACTGCGATACATCTAAAATTGTTAAGTCGCAACGAAACAGAAAACATTTTTTTGCGTAAAAACTATGAATGCTACAAGATTTTACCAAGAGCACGAAAATCTCGAATAACGACATCAATAAAAATAAAATGAATTGATTCCAGCTACCAAAAAGTTCTGGTAATTCTTGTACCAAGACACTCAAGAATTTACCACTAGCTAAAGGCAGATGGACGCGGTTGCTTCATCAAAACATGAGTTTTACTTAGGAACAAGTCCACAGCAAGTTTCATTAAAATCCATCGTAACATTCTCCAGATATTACAAAAAACATATTTTTTTTCAAGAACTTTGACAGTCAATAGCAGAGGAGCCAGACATTTTTTCTTAATGGAAGTTAAGTCAAATTGTCTTCTTTTGAGCCAAAGAATGTCGCAATACCTTTTTGATCATGTGCTTATGGGACACCCTGTATAATATCCTTAGAAGGTTTTGGTTGCATTTGCATGACAGCAGTGAAATTTGATGATGGTGTCAACAAATAATATTTATTTATTAATTTTTGTTTGTTGCAAGTTGTTAATTTTTACAGTGGTAGAAGAAAAAACTCCACGTTAGAGTTTAAACATTTCCTAGCAAAGCTCATGCTAAAGCACAGTATATCCCTCAAGCAAGACTTAGATCCAATCAGTAAAGCCAAGGCCGATCTAGAAATGTGGTTCAATATCATGAACGAAGTTCACAGCTATGGTTACGTTTACACACTAGCATATGTGCAATCTTTGTGGAATAAAATAAAGTCTAACGCTAGATTGGCTCAAAAAAGCATGGGCCCCATGACTTACTTGGATTATTTAGTGAATATCAGCAAAGCTAACATTGATGATGCAAGTGCTGCCATTGACGGCTCGGATGACACAGAAAGTTGCGACAGTGATCTAACTGAAAAAACAGACACAACTAGTACTAATAGTGATATCAATCAAGGAGAAATAAAAAAAGAAGAGAAACAAAGTCCATTGAAGTACCCCATTAATGCTGTTACTGTCGGAGAAAATTGTGATGTTATTTGTATAGACGATGATTCAGAAACAGAGGAAAGTTCCAAAAACGATTCCTCCAGTAAAGATGTTAATGTTGGGACGAGTGGTACTGCAGTAATACAAAATAATTGTGATACGAATCATAAAGAAAACAATATTGATAGTACTGAGAAAACTTTGGGTATGTTACGCAAGATTCGAATTAAAAGGTGAGTAATTCTTGTGCATCTAAAGAAGACATCTTGTACTAATCAAATATGATCGTATTTTGCTATTATGCGCCTGAATATTTCTTTGCTGTCCTAGAAATAAACATTTGCAAGTTACTATTGTTTAAACAAATTTATTATAAAATACAAATAAAAAGTTAAAGAAACATTACAGTAGACAAAATAATAAGTTCTTTAACAAAAAGAAACGTTTGTTTAAATATTATAAGAAACATTCTATAAAAAATTAGATAATTAAAACCACTTTTTGTGCAAAAATCTTGAATAAATAATACTTTCACTAGTCAATCGTTACATGTGTTGTTGTAACAGTAATGTTCACAAAAAAAGTAGTGTTTCGTTACTTACGCAAAATATACAGGGTAGGTCAAATTGGACACCTGAGGGCTTATATTCCTCGAAAGATAGAAAAAAAACAGTAGTTCCAGAGGCGGCTGGTGAACATTGACGTGGTCATATTTTTATAAAAAAGCATAGGGTCCATTTTGTGTTTTAAGAGATGATTTCTAGGCTCGTTAAAAGAAGTTTCGAGATAAGAAGATTTAGAACGATATTTGTCAAATAAGAAAGTAATATAGGAGTTGCCTTGCCTGGAATCTTGGAAAGGGTATATGTGCAAAATATTTTTTTTATAATCAACTAACAGATAAAATTAGTTGTTTTTATTTTTTGCAAAATAAAGTCTTAGTTATACCAATTTAAATTTTAATTTAATATTAACACTGTATTTTTCAAATTTTATAAATTGCTGACTATAAAAATGAAAATTTTGAGGAAAAAAAGTGTATCTGTATCAATTGATTATGAGAAAAATATTTTGCAAATATGTCTGCTTCCCTTTTTGAAACCCAAGGAGAGCAATCCATTTTTTAAATTTCCTATTTTGTAAATTTCATTCGAAACTTCTTCATCATGAAAGTTCTCGTCTTTATAAAATTATAACCACTTCAATTTTCACTGTCGCCGGTGCTTGATACAATAATAATTAAAAGATTTCCCAATTTTGGCTGTTTTCTACGATGCCCTATAACTTTTTCATTTGAACAATAATATATTATTTTATGTACTATTATTTTTGTAATTAGGTTTTTCACATAATTTTTTAGATATAATCTAGTGGTGTACCCAATATTTTTCTATAACTTCCTATTTTGAGTTATAACGTAAACTTATATTTTTTAAATGGAATACTACGTATCTTTATTTTTGAAATCTGCATAAAATTTTTCTTCAAATGATGTATTATCCATAATTACACAAAAATTTCTTTCAATGCTAAAAATTGAACTGCAATAATATAATTTTTAACTGTTTAAATCTTGAAAATAATTTAATAAATATCATTCGAAATGATGCCATTTTATGCAAATTTCAACTGTACGAAACTAACTACATGACATTGCTTTTGTATGTCAATGTGGACGAAACATCAACATTAAAAAAAAATCAGAGATTTAAAAAATATACTTTTTGCTTGATTCATTAAATATTAGGTAATACTGGTATGATGTTAGGCTTACGTTACTAACTGTAAGGAAAACTAATTTACGTTTTAAAATAATTATTTTTTCTGACTTATAAAATGTCTATATTGAAAAATAATTTTAATAAGTTTTTAATTGAAAATATTTGTTACTACTTTAAAGCTTTGTATTTAGTTTGTAAATCTTTGTGTCAATGCTTGTCACGTGAATCGGTTTAGGTGAATACTACTGTCACTTTACATATTCCAGTGAAGTAAACAATTTCATGCAGCCAAAGCATGATCATAAAAGTAGACAAGAATACATTTGAGAAAGTTAAAACAGTAAAAAGTTATAAAATCTTATAAAAATACAGTAACTTTTTTCTTATTCAACATGAGCTTAATCATTGTTTACATGATTGGAATATGCAAGTTGACTTTACACATATATGTCAATAGGGTGGTAGAAGACCACCGTTAATTCGGCAAAACCAGAATGTTCGAATACGAGGTGTTTTTTTATATGTTGGTCAATTTCGCGACTTGATTGAAGTATGTTTTTACTGGAAATGAAATAAAATTTGTATTGGGCATGTCATATTGTTTTAAGTTTGATTGTATAGTAAAATTTAAAGTAGTATTTAAGTAAATCGTCTTTTTATATTATTAGTGTATAATCTTATAAAGTAAAAACATGTACATATACAAGTCAATCAAGATGATATTTGACTGCTATGTATGCCATACATTGTGGCTCGCAGCTAGCGCATGTGGTCTAAGGTTACACTAGCCTGTCTAGTGGCTTGAAATTTACGAAAAGGTTAATTCAGGTGTCAATAGAATTAAGGAAAGTACTTATGGTACGTGTTTCTAAAGGTCAAAGGTAGTCTCCATATAAATATGAACCCCATATAAATTTACACCTCGTATAGGGGATTCCATTTGAAAAATAGAAGCTTACGTTATAATTGACAAACTGGAGGTTATGAAAAAGTATCCTGTTGCCACTATATATAAAAATGCATAAAAACATACTTACAAAAAAATATATTTTCATTAGCAAAAAGGTTATAGGAAATCATAAAAAAATTATTATTGAAGAATGCCCTGTATCTAGAGGATTTGATATCGGGATCCCGACCGCTTTTCAGTCCCGAAATTTTCGGGATTAACTGTTCCTGATCCCGAGATTTTCAGGATTTATATCATTTTACGTTTCAAGATAGACTGTGTGGCTTGCTTGGAATAATTTTTTTTATTTTTAAAGACTGCTAGGACATGTACTTTACTACATACTAGATTGTTACATCAAAGTTGTCTATTTAGTCGATGTTACGAGAGATTTTTGTTAATTTTAAGTTTATTTACATAGTTTGTTACATAAAGGTTTTTTTCAATTTATGTAAGTTTGAAGAGATTTCCCTGATTCTTGAAAAAGAATAACTTTAACCATTGAATGAGAAATTCTCACTCAACCGCTTTAACATAAAGACATAAGAGACTTAAAAAATGTCACCTGAAGCATCTGCTTTACTGTTTCACCCCTTCTGTCGGCTCTAATTTAACCAATAACCAATCTATAACTAATGAACTTGTGAATGAATGTATTGTAACCTGAATAGTAATGGAACCTTTTAATATTTAGAATCGTGAAAAAAGTAGAAGACAATCTTGCCAAATCTGCTGACGGCGATTCATTTAATGGTAAGAAAAGCAATCAGAATAAGCTGAAGCAGCGCAAGATTAGGGAATTCTGGGGAAAGGACCAAAAGCTAGAGCTCGTACGGGAGATGCGAAACGAGTGTAACCAGCTTATAGAGAACAGAGAACTGGAAACGTTCAAGTACACTCCGTGGAAGAATATACTGGATCGAGTGGCATCTAAGGGATTCAAGGGCTATAATTTCGCAAAGTTGTACACCGTGTGGGGTAAGATGAAAATGTCGGCGACGATATACGAGAAAAATGGACAGGATAAAGTAGATGACGAAGTATGGGACCTTCTACAATTACACAAAGAGGTACAAAAGAACTTACTGAAGAAGAGGAAAACCGGGGAAGATTGTGAAGAAGATGCTCTACAAGACGACGGTGAATGTAAAGAAAGGTAAGTTCTTGTGAAATTAAAATTTGTTGATATCTACAAGTGATTAAATGATCGGCGGTGATCAACAGAATGTCTGAGAAGCAACTATCGTTCAACAAGGGAGTAGGGCTTTATGGTGTTACGCAGCTACTATAGAGTCCCAAAATTGTAAGCAGTGACTCATTCCTGACATGTAGATGGGTAAAATACACAGGATAAAAGTCTAAATTTGTGTATTTGTAGAGGTTGAGCATCATATTGTTTATAACAAAAGAAAAAAAATAATTGTTCTTTTTTCAGTTTTTTGCTTATATCTCCGAAAATAAGCCTCTAATCGACATGAGGAATACTTATCAATTTTGTTTCTGAAGAAATTTGCTATAAGGATAAGCTTTTGCGAAAACTCGCATAATTTTTTTTACATTGCAAAATTAGCGGTGAAAAAACGAATGCAAAATTTTCAGCATTAAATAAAAAGAAAGAATTTGACTGAAATTGGATGAAACTACTGGAAAAGATAACTATTGGGGTGCTCAACAAATACCCGCAATTCGGACCCCCAATTTCAAATTGGCGGCCTATTGCAAAATTATAAAGACGAAAACGTGAGCGCCTATATCTTCTGCCCAAGTCAAGGTATCGAAATTTGATAAAAAAGGATCGAAAGGTAATAATTACATTATCTCGTGTCTGTGTAAATTTCAGATTTTTAAGTTGCAAAATAAAAAAGTTTTTAACAAAAAACCAAAAACGGTAACTAGGGTCCTTATCTCGCCAATTTTTTAATATACAGATTTCAAACCAATTGCGTCAAATAGTGCTGAAAAAAACATGAATTAAGAAAAAAAAAGCGTATCGATCTGACCAATAGGAGCCGAGATAATTTTTTTTCTTTAATATATATTTTGGCTGTTCTATTTAATATTTTATAATAAACTTGGTCTCGTTGTAAAGTAGAAGACTTCCTTTATACACTGATTTTTTTTTAATGGATTTGACCAAGTAAACGTTCGTTAAAGACAGCGTGATCCGCCCGGCTGAGCGGTAGCCATGAGAGGGGAGCGCTGTGACGTCATAGTGCCCATGCTGCGCTCGACTTCTAAAAATTCTAACTCGACAAATGGATTGTGGCACTTAGAAAGCTATAGCTTAGCTACTGGGATCTTTTTTTTAAATCAACATATTTTTTTCCGCTTTTGCAAATGGTGTAAGCAAGGCTTAGCTGGGTGTCTTGGCCGGTGGATTTCGATCTGCCGAGGTAAGCATCACGGACGCAGGCTGGAATTTGGATGGGTGACCTAAGGCAGGCTCAGGGACGTGGCTATGGCAGCCTACCAGAGACCTGGGTCACTCAACATTTTCCGCATGCGTGTGGTCCCCGATAAATGGTAATGAGAACAGAGCAAAGAAAATGTACGAGACTTTGCCTCCAAGCCACCTGTGTAGTAAATAGGATGGTTTGAAGAAAATTACTTGAGTAATGAAGGAGGGTGTACAAGGGGCCTATTAAGGCCTAAGTGCTTTGGTGGAAAAACAATTCTGCCACCCTTCGACATACATACATACATACATATATATATGGTGTAAGCAAAAGTCTGTGAAAGTCCTCGACAGATCCCGAAAAATACATTTTTATTGACTTTTCACGTTTTCTTTTGTAATTTCATTGCGCTTTCGATATTTTGAAAAGGAGGTCTTTTTACATATTTAAAAACAAAAGTCAATTATTTCTTTGAAAAAAAAAAGATGAATTAATGAAAATTTCCTTGCTCAGAAGAAGTCGACGTATAAAATATCGTCTTAAAATTAACTGTTACACTTATTACGTAAATTATGTCTAGAATATTATTGAATGTTACAATACCAACATTACATATAAGTATATCATTTTATAATATTTAAAAGAACTGTTACGTTCAATTCTACCATGTTTTATTTAATTAATTGTATTGCTAGAGAATGTTGTCTTTTTTTAATTTTTATAAGAATATAAAAAATAAAATAAATATAAATATATTTTAGACCGATGAATTTTGCCATTTTGCTACATCAAGTCACGTGCTCTACAGTGTAAACCATTAACTTGAAAAATTCCTTGTAGCAAATTTAACATTTAACAAAATCGATAAGTAGGTATACTCATGTCGATTAAAGGTTTATTTTCGGAGATATAAGTGAACTGAAAAAAGAGCAATTATTTTTTTTTCTTTTGTTATAAACAATATGACGCTTGACCTCTATAAATACACAAATTTAGGCTTTTGTTCCGTATATTTTTTACTTAATTTTAAGCCCATAAAATTCGAAGTAGGTCCGATTTTAGAAACAGGCATGTGTTTAGTCTAATTCGCGCGGATTATTAGAGAAATTATTGAATATAGGACAACAACAATAGATATGTTGATTTTTTTTTAAACTGGATATACCAAATTTGTTTACTTCTACTACTTATACATTTGCTTTCTCATGATTTAAGAAATAATGAGTTGTTGATAGATTGGTAGGAATCAAACTAATATATTTCCCCAGTGTGGAACCCAAAGAGGAACTGCCCTTTTCTGGGAGTTTTTTTCCCGAATTCAACACGTCGCTTCAACCCCTGCCTCCGTCTTACTTGCTAATTCAAACCTGGTTTGTTTGACCCCCCCCCCCCCTCTGAATATCAGATACGCTTTGAGAAAAATTCTATTATATCATGTTAATAATTAAGAATTACCTAATTGACTGAATTTCCATTGGTATGGATAATTCTGTGACTAAACTGAATTTACAAGTAACCCAATACGTGCGTGGTTTAGTCAGTCTCATTTAATCTACTTTTTATAGCTTGGAAAGTCCGCTAAAAACCAGCTATTTGATCTATTGTTTTTTTCATCAAAACAATTTATTATTATATCTTGGAATCTATATGCCTTTCTGAACGTGTTTCACACGTTATTAAAAATATAATTTTTTTTCGACCACATGGCCACAATGGTTTAAGTTACTTCAGCTCGTTTTCTATTGGGCCTTCTCCGAAGGACGGCTAAGCTTTGTAAATTTATTAGTTTTCGCAACAAAAGCTTTTTCAAACGACTCTCTTAACGACTTCTACCCACTTGAACTCCCTTGTCTGTCAGTGATTGGGCGCCACTGATTCCTAAAACTGACTCATAAATTGTACGTGGTTGTCTTTTGTTACATATCGTCCCTCTTATCACATAGGGGCGTATAATCCAAGAAATGGATATACACATACGCCTCTACGTGATAATAGGGACGATATCATCGGATCGTTTTTTAAACGAGATTACACAGCCACACAAAAAAAAATTGTTTTTCGAGTCTGAAGGTCATGTCTACTATGTACATGTTTTCGGGGTTGCTGAATTTGAATCCATGATCCATTTAACACCATCACGTCAGGTTTTACCAATAACCCCATGTAACCTCATAACCCAAGCTGTAAAGGAAGCTGTGCACCTTTAATAGTTAATAAGTTAATTAATGCAGAGACCCAAATAATCTGAACCCGTTCCAGTAATCAGATGCTCAGAAATTATAGCAACATATTTTTTTTATGTAGTTTTGAGGTTGGTTTGATTAGCATCATGATTTTTTAGTTTATATCGCTATTACAAACCATTTTTTCTCTATTTATTTTGACAGTTTGAATATTTGAATACTAAAAAGGTTTTTTTCCAGTGAAACGCCAGCGTCTTCCAAAAGGCCGAAATTGATCACTTCGAAGTGCAAAGATCTAAGTTCGAAAGATTCTGGGAGTTCCCATCAAACCACAGGAAAGAATGCCACTACTCCTACTAACCTAAACAAGGCAACATCAAAAGAGCAAAAAAGCACCGCTACTGCTAATAAATTGATTAGTTCTTTGTCAGAAGATGAAAAGTTGGAAATTCTTGAATTAATAGAACTACAGTTATCCAGTACGCTGGCGAAAGGCGTGATTAATGAATCTTTCACAGCTATATTGGAAAAGATAAAGTATAAGAATTATTCTGCTAGTGCCATAACGAACTTCTGGCAAAAACTCGCTCTGGCAGCTTCCGAATGCCAAGATACTGCGACTCCTGTACATAAAAAAGTTACAAAGTTGCTCGATATTTATCGTCAAAACAAAGTTAATAGAAAAGTAAACGTTTTCCGTGAGACTGAAAATGTGAAGGAAAAAACAGTGGCAGCGCAATTTAGCGGCCCTAAAAGACGTGGCAGACCAAGGTTAGTATAAAATGTGAAACAAAAAATTGTTTACTGACATGCTATTGCCTAGTAATGTCACTATCAGGCTCTGCTTGTAAATGAGAGATGTCCGCCCGTGTATTGTTACCAATGTAATGACTTAAGCAAATAATACAGTGCCTTCATAAATATCTGAATCCCACGTGACCACGACTGTTAAACAACCAACTGGAGGCAATGTTTAACACAAAATTCCGTAAATGATATGAAGCAAATTATTTATTTAAAAATATTTATTCGGAAGACTGATTTATTGCGTAACTTTTTTATCTCTTGTAATTTTTCGATAAAACCGATAGTTTTCTAGTAAAAAAATTAGATGCGTCATCGTTCACTAAAGGGGTAATTGCGAAAATTTGTAAAAATAAAGTAGGCGGATGTCATAACAAATAAATTGTTATTTATCATATTAATAAATTGACACTTTCTGTCAACCAATAATTAGTACCAACTGACTAATTTATTATCAGAATAATTATGGCAAATAATATTTATACCAATGACGAATATGTCGACATGCTCCAAGTGTTTTTTGAATCCAGAAAAAATAGTAACGCTGCAGTAAGATTATATCACCAAAGACATCCAAACCGACTGATTCCTCATAGACAAACATTGGCCTCGGTGGAAAGAAGGCTTCGGAAAACTGGTAAAATTCAGCCCAATCGTGAGGGTGCTGGAAGAAGGCATAATGTCCGTTGTTAAAACTGAGGAAGCTTTACTGGAACATCTAGAATAAGACTGTGGTACAAGCACAAGACAGGTGTCCAGGCAACTGCAAGTTTCTCACAGTCTTGTGTGGAATGTAGCTCATGAAATTCTTTTATACCCTTTTCACCATCAACCCGTGCAAGAATTGAACGACCCTGATTTACCTAAACGCGTGGATTTTTGTCAATGGTACATTAATATTTCCAGGAATGACTTAAATTTCCTAATGAATATACTTTTCATCAATGAAGCAAATTTTCCTAAAGTAGGTGCAGTAAACCTTCATAATGTTCATTCATGGTCGGAAGAAAATACTCATGAAATATTTGTTTCAAGATGGAGTAGTTGTTTCTCGCAGCACTGACAAGTCAAACATTGTGTTACGCCCTCTGTGGGTGGCAGTCGTGCAACAAAGTACCTGCAGTTAGCAGGTCGCTTCCTACTGTAGCCATTTGAATGGCACAGTTGGAAGTCCGCACAACATGATGATATGACGAAGAACAGCTAGGTCGTTTGTTGGTTGTCGCACCTATGACACACTGATGAGGACTAATAAGTCTGAAACTGGTCTGTGCCTGGTGGGTAAACTGACAAACAATGCTAGCTGTTGCACTAGGTGTTGCGAGTATAATTCAATGCCGGTAGGGGCAAATAGCTCTCGGAGTAGTTGTTTCTCGCAGCACTGACAAGTCAAACATTGTGTTACACCCTCTGTGGGTGGCAGTCGTGCAACAAAGTACCTGCAGTTAGCGGGTCGCTTCCTACTGTAGCCATTTGAATGGCACAGTTGGGAGTCCACACGACAGGTGGACCCGTTGGCTCCCGCGTACAACATAATTTCAGTTTAAACGGATGGATGAGAAGTGTAGGAAATACTCTAGTAGGTCCTTTTATTCTTCCACACAGACTTGGAGCGGCCGAGTATCGTAGATTTTTTAATGAAAATCCAACATTACTAGAGGATGTACCCCTCGCTACACGTCAGGTGATGTGGTATATGCACAATGGGACGCCTGCACATAGTACGTTTGCCGTTAGAGAATGGTTAAATTTAAATTACCCAAATCGCTGGATTGGTCATGGTTGTGATGCCCCTGTGTGTTGGCTTGCACGTTCACCTGACTTAACACCTACGGATTTTTTTTTGTGGGGTCACAAAAAGTATTGTTTATGCCACTCCTGTTGCCTCCTTAGATGAATTACGCTTAAGAATATTTCAGGCAGCAGATGACCTTTGCAATAACCAAGAACTGTTTGTGTGAGTGCATTATAACTTCAACAGACGTATTAGGTTATGCTTGCAGCAAAATGGAAATTATTTCGAGAATATTCTTTAAATTTAATTTTGTATTTCTTGTTTTTCGTTTGTATTAAATTTTATTTCAGATAAATAACTTTACCTAATACATGTCTCATAGTCATAAGTTATCAAACATTTTTCTAGAAATGGGAAAATTCCCAAACTATGAAAATTCCTGGAATGTTTCCATTGAAAATTCCGGAAATTTTCTGCAATTTTCAAAAAATTGTTTTTGGAGTTGGTATTGTGTTCTACATACCATCAGCTTTCCAAAAAGACCAAATACTTATATACATTTTTGTTTATATTGGTATAAATATTGGAAAAATATAAATGATTAATCATCCGTTAGAAAAAATTTTACATGCTGAGTATACAAAACTCTATTTATCTTTATTTTTTAATAAACAAATAGTAAATACATTAAATAATTATACTAGTTTAAAAATGTAAATGTTCTTAAAAATTCATTTCAAATTTGAAAATGAGGCAATTTATGAGTCTTGTATTGCTCTCTATTATGTAGATTGTAGACTTAACAAAGATCTTTCCTCCTGAAAACGTTGGAGAGAATAGTTGATAGGCATATAAGAGACGGGGTGTTGAGGGCAAATCCTCTACACAGGTACCATATGCCTATCAGGCAGGCAGATCAGTCGACACAGCCCTTCATAGCCTAGTCTCTAGGATAGGGAGGGCGATTAACGACAAACATCTAGCTTTGGCAGCTTTTTTAGATATTGAGGCATTTGATAATACACCTTTCGAATCTATTTGGCAGTTCGCAACAGGGGCCTTGATGACACTTTATGTCGTTGGATAGATACCATGTTGAGAAACCGGACAGTAACAGCTACCCTTTCGGGAGAGACATCCAGGTGTAAGGTAGGCCGGGGCTGCCCCCAGGGGATTAGTGGTGGACGGTGCACTAGAGGGCCTTAATCGAAAGGGATTTTATACACAAGGCTATGCGGACGACTTAGTCGTTCTCATAGTCGGGAAACATAATATTATCGTTTCAGAACCCGTGAAAGAGGCTTTGAAATGGATAGATGACTGGTGTAAGGGGCAGGCACTGTCAGTAAACCCTGACAAAACGGTCGTAGTACCCTTCACCAGGAGAAGGAATTTAATTGGACCCTCTGAACCTATAATAGGGGAGAGGAGCATTAGACTTTCCAGGAAAGTAAAATATCTAGGAGTGATACTGGATAATAAGCTTACCTGGAATGCACACTTGGAAAAAGTGGTGAGTAAGGCGAAGCAGACACTGTGTGTATGCCGTCGCCTTATTGGGAGCACCTGGGGACTGAAACCAAAGATGTCATACTAGTTGTATACGTCGATAGTAAGACCTAGGATTCTTTATGGCGCTGTGGTATGGTGGCAAAAAACACAACAGACCACAGCGAGGGAAAAACTGAATAGAATTCAGAGATTGGCCTTTTTAGGTATAACGAGGGCGATGGCATTGACCCCGACAGCTGCACTAGAAATGCTAAATCTACCACCGCTGCATATAGTGGTGGAAAGAGAAGCACGGCTAGCAGCATATCGACTCAGGAATAACAACGACTGGAGGGGTAGTTCCTATTCCAGGATTATAGACACATCTATGTCGGAACCAACTTTTGGGATGGTATCTGACAAGATGGTTCCAAGGTTTCACTTCCACAAGCCTTTTGAGACACGGATAGAGGATCAAAGCAAATGGGAGGAAAAGTTTAATACTCTGGAAAGGTGGAGCCTAGTATGGTTTACAGATGGCTCCAAAATGACCAGAGGGACGGATGCAGGAATATATGGACTCAGACCCAGATGGAGTGCAAGCTATAGTCTGGGGGAGTTCCCTACCATATTCTAAGCAGAAATTTTCGCGATAATGGCGTGTCTGGCAGAGAATGTACGTAGAGGTTATAAACGTAAACTCATATATATATTCTCTGATAGTCAAACTACAATTAAAGCTTTAGGCGCACACAAGATAAGTTCAAAACTGGTGTGGGATTGTTTACAAATGCTGACTGAACTGTCCACCAACAATACAGTCAGACTGTGTTGGATGCCAGGGCATAAAGGCATTTGTGGAAATGAGAAAGCGGATGAACTTGCTAGGAACATAGGAAATACTGGACTTCAAGGCTAGAACATAGACATTCTAAGGAGCTCATGGAGTATCCTTCGAAGGAAAGAGCGAATGATTTACTGAGCTTGAATAGAATCCGGCTCAGGAAAGTGACAGGACTCACAACGGGACTCTGTCACTTTAGGAAACATCTACATAAGCTAAAGCTTGTAGACAGTCCGGTCTGCCGAGGATGTGAATTGGCGGATGAAACTTCTCTGCATATCCTGGGCGAGTGCCTGGGATTTGTACGTAGCAGAATGGTGCTCCTTGGGGACCCTACTTGGAACCCAAGGAAGTGGGAGCAGTGTCAACACGGAAGCTTTTGGACTTTGTAAAAAGGACAAATCTACCTGCTGAATAGGACTAGTAGTGGGACGCACAATATGCCTAATCAGGCCGCAGTGCTATGTGACTTATTAGGACCAACCACTAGAAGTAGAAGTAGAAGTAACAAAGATTAAAATAAGTAAGTGTAAGTGTTTTCTATTATTTGGATAATATGGTCTTTTGATATTCCAAATTAACCGAAAATCCGAAATTAACCAACAATTTTTTGAGGTTATGTTCACAGAAGTTAGAAGTAAAATTGACTCCAAGTTTACAAATTGTTAGAAATGTTCCCGGAAAATTTCCAGGGAAAATTTCTCAAGCTTCGATTTATTTCTTCCCGGAAAATTTCCGTTTTGGAAACTTTCCGGGACGGAAAATTTCTCATTACCCATCTACATTTTTCATTAATTAATAGCAAATTATTCTTAATGTTATTATTAAATTACCAGATTATTGTTATGACATCCGCCTACTTCATTTTTACAAATTTTCGCAATTACCTCTAGTGAACGATGGTGCATCTAATTTTTTTACTAGAAAACTATTGGTTTTATCGAAAAATTACAAGAGGTAAAAAAGTTTGGCAATAAATCAGTCTTCCAAATAAATATTTTTAAATAAATATTTGCTTCATATAAAAAAATTTCTAATAAAATATTGCAATGAGGTTGATTGTTTCACTCCTTTATAAAATGTGTCAATGATCGAACAAATATTGAAAAGTTGTCTCTTTATTAGTAGGATGCTCATACCAAGTTTTGTGTTCTGTGGTAAAAAATGGGTGTTCCATTAAAAACAAATCAACTTCCGGTCTAAAAACACCACTTCAATGGCCCCCAAATTGGGTAAATATGAGGTTAGGCGGAGGAGAGTTCATGTTTTTGATTTCGTAAAAGTTTGATTTTTGTGTATTATTTCTTTACTGAATCACATATCTGTCACCACTCGGCTACTCTAAGGCAAACACCAGTGTGGGAATATAACATAATTGATAAGTATTGAGGGATAACTTTCACTACTCTGTTGCAGAGAGTTGCAGTACATCCTCATTTAGGTCGAGGACAATATTTTTTTTTATGAGGCTATTCCAAAATATTTACCTCGATAGAGGCATCAAAGGTATTGAGGTATCCAATACATGTTTTATTTTTTCTAGGAATTGTTTGGTTGGATAGCAGTGAGAAAAATTCATAATGATGAAATTACCATCAAAATCAGTCTTAAACTTCATTGAATGTGATCCTTTCTCAAATTTGACTACTACAATTTTATTAAAAATTATCTGTGCACAGAAATCTCTTTTTCTTAGTCCATTCATATGGACAGAAAAATTTTTCGTGAATAATTGTCAGTCCAAAATAAAAATTTTCTGACATCTTCTGTTGCCTTAAAATTGAGTTCACAACATTGCCAGTATTTCTTCCAGCGATGCCTTTGTGCCACCAAATGCAGAGCAGAAGCTTAGAACTATGGATATTCGGCTTTGACGACGATGTGCAATGTACATGCATAGTCAGGCTTGCCCCATGATTTTTTTTGATATGATGCAAAAAACATTTCCCTTTCTGTCGTTGAAGCAGTTGTTCACGCGTATAATGATGTTGTTTGATGTCTCTCGGCACCGAGTGTTCTTGCTTTTAAATCATTTTTAGTGCTTTCAAATGTTTCAAAACTGTTGTATCAACTGTAATAATTCTGCAAATTCCGCCAGTATCTGACATGAGTCTTCATGAACTTATGTTTCCAACCCTTCATCTTCAAACTGTTTCGGTGCTCTAGAGGATTCTTTATCTTCAATGTCAAAATCATTATTTTTGAAGCATCTGAACCAATTTCTGCATGTTGTTTGCTACAGATCATGGCCACCGTAAATCTCAACAAGAATTACATGTGCTTCAGCTGCAGATTTCCTATGAATAAAGTGATGTGGTAAAATTCTTTACAAATACTTTTTCTGTTGAAAAATTGAGAACTTATTCAACGTTCCTATACATTGATCTAATGATGACATCGTGTAATGGGTATATAATATTTGGTCTTCTATAATGAGCCGCAGATGGGTGGTAACTTTTTATGTGGGCTGTTATGATTTTTTGGTCACATTTAGTTTTTCGTGTACACCTCTGTTTTCCTTGATAGAGGCACAAATAGGTGGTTTTTACTATGCACAACACAATTCACTTAAAGAAGACTCATTATTGTAACTTGAACTATCCAATAAAAATAATTGCCACATGCATGTATTCGCATTACTTTTTGGTAAATTAAAAATATAAATGCACATTTTTTTAGATCCATCGTTGTCAGTGTGCCCTCGATTGTTCCTCGTTTGATGTCCATCATTTTTTGCAAGCTTTCTACTGGTATAATCAAGGGACCAATAATTTTCCAACAACAAGATATGATATTATTTTTTTATCTTGACAAGATGGCTTCGTCGAATGTCTTTGTTTCTACTTGACTTCTTGTTGTTTAATACCCTTCTTTTCATATTTCTGTATCTTCTCTTGATAATAATTCTAGGCATCGTCTGGAAAAATGGAAATATCAACTTGCATTATCTAAAAAGGAAATGTTAAATTTGTATTGTGCAGTCAATTTAACTCCGCTTGCAAAATTCGTTTACTAAACTTTGAATACGTGAATTCCTCGTAACTCGCCTCTATATCTGTAAAGTGTTTACAGCGGTGGTCATGGTTACTGTCGCGCAGCAGTGAAAGACAAAGTGGGAGTAGCCCATATTTACTATGCAATTTGGTCTCTGTTTAGTCCGACTGTAACCAAATAATAGCTATCCACCGCATTTTTTTCTTAATAAGAGTAATTTGTTCAGATGTGGTATAAAATTTTGTTACATATATACATATTGTTTCGTGTTTTTTAAAAAATTTGAAAAGTTTAAATTGATTGTAGCACTTGTAAAAATCAATGGTGCGAGAAATACCAAACTTTAATGAAAAAGTATTGAAAAGTTTATTTCGGACAAAAGCAGAAGAATGAACTTTCACTATAAAAAATAATGTTGAGTACATTTTCCCTATATTTCAATAGTAGGTACTTAGAATAAAGCTACCCAATTATATTTGATTTTTTTCTCAATAGGTTAACCTAAATTTTTCCGCCCTCTCTGGTATGGAAGTCAATAGCCGCCACTGGTCCTACCTTTTCACTAATTACAAAAGTGTCATTAGGAATGCTGTCGTCATCATAAAAGTTGCTACAATCACTATATTAATATACAATACTCCACAATGTCTGCAATATCTACAACATTTTTTTATGATAATTTCAAAATTAAATTAATAATAAATAAAATTAATCACAGTAACCATGCCGTTCTGCTCTTGTTGTCGGTTTGAATTTTGATTTGGAATCACTGATTTTTTTTATCCACAATCCACCTTACAAGCGGACTTCTATCCACACATATCAACCAAATTTTTTTTAACGTTTGTGAAGCTTGTGGATAGTTAAAAAAAATTTTGAAAAAAATTATTTTGGAAAAATGTTTTCCATTTTTTGTTAGCACCATTAACGTTTTTTGATGAAGAAAATATGGATTATTGCTAAAACATTTTTAACTTAAAAAAATGAATAAAAAGTGAAGAATTACTTATTACATTGATTTTCAGCAAAAACAACAAATTTAAACATTCCGGGCACTAAGAAAAAAAAAATCGCAGCGTTTTGAAATTATCAGGGTTTCTTTAGGACACTTTGAGGTTAAAAAGTTACAGTCTATATCCTTAGTTTATTCATTATTTGCAGTTATGCCAAGTTATTCAAATATTCCTAATTATGCAATTTTTTACCTTTTTTCTAACCAACATTTTAACTGATTTTTTTTTTTTTTATCAAAAACCCATAATTAAGACTTGTAGAGAATGCTTTGTAGTTTTTAAAACCCTGCTTGGATTTTCTGTATGACAAACAGCTCTTTGAAAATCACCCAAAATTTTGGGATTTTTTTAATATCCCTTATTATGTCCCTTAATTTCTGTGCCTATTGTATTACCTTAATCATTTAATATTCTTTATCAGAAGCCACACTCAAAAATTCTTCAATATGTGCTCTTTCCAATACTGCACCTTTTTTTGCTTTCTATCCTCTCGATTCACTCTTCAAATAAGCAGTAAGCTTGTTATATATTCCAATATTTATATTTTTGTAGACCTTTATAGTAGCTTCAACATCGAATACTTCAACCACATAGATGAAATTGCATATTTTTTCTTCAAATTTAAAAAATACGATAGAATGACTTCTTCGTTTATTGTCATTCTCCATTTTCCCTCCATTCATTAAATTCGGCGAACATTTTTTTGTAATGTCTCCTGTCCTTCAAAAACAGCCACAAGAACACAATTACTTTCTTGCATTTTTACCAACTTCAGATAGAACTGTAAATAATTGATAATAAACAACACACCATAGCAACCAGTAGGTATAACAAAACCTACAACGTTTCATTGAGTACTAGTAAGAAATATCAAGTCATGCGAATATTTTTTTATTAAATTCCAATAATTCTGACTCCACAAATATGATTGTGATGCGATTATGGATAAAGCATTGTATTGCATTCGTCTTTTAATTGTCTTTTATCCACTTAAGGATATTTAACGTTTGAACCACCTTCTGCTGTTTAAACATTCTTGCGTGGATAAAATGCTACTTAAAACACTTATGCAATAAATAACTATTATTTTGTAAAGTTTTATGGAAAGTTTCATATGGAAAACTAAGGTCAGCTACTTATATTGCCACATCTTGCCTACCTCTTTGTAAACATACAACCAAATTCAGAGTATCTATCAGGGCTTTGATATTTTTGAGATGATATCCCAGTATAATGCATAAACTGTCATAGGACGGTGATGTGGCAAACAGAACCATAGGTGTCGGTTTAAAAGGTTATAACCGCAGAAAATAACCTAGTATATGGCATTGTGAAAGTATTTTTTTGATTTGTTGTTGGATACTGTGTTTTACCTTAGAGCAGGCACACTAAATTGACGTCATCCGTAAAGTGTTGAGGCTTTATATCAATAATGCTTTGTATCCGTTATTTCAGCAAGTACAGGGACAAGGAGAAGCTGGACTTTATTTCTGTTATAAAGTCTTTCGGTAATGAGGTGTTCAAGAAAATGTCACGTCCTGAACGTCTAAACTTCTGGGCCAAGGTAGCCGCCAAGTTGCACACCATGGGCTATAGTACAAAATCAAATGAGATTTATATTCTGTGGGGCCATATGCTACGTTCGGCCAAACTTTCGTGGGCACAAGAGGACAGAAAGCCTTATGTTGGGGACAAAGAGATCATAGAATTCATGACAGACGTGATAAAGGAAAAGGAGAAGTCTACGCAAGATTGCCAGTTGGATTTGAATGGGGATGAAGATGCAACGCTTCAGGAGGATTTGAATAATTATGAAGGAGAGGACTCATATAATTATGAGGAAGATGAAAAAGTTAGCGCGCAAGATCTGGAAAATTTCGAGGAGAGTTTAAAAGACGAGGAAGAATCTCTTCATCAGTCATATGACGATATTGTCGAGAGTGGCAGTAGGGATGATAGTAATGAACATGTTTCATTAGATGAGTACGATTACGTGTCATTAGAGGATATTCAGAAGCAGTATGGAAAACAAGTTTTTGTAAATCCAAAGCCACCTGCAATAAATGAGGTATGTGAACAATTATTTATTAAAATTATTTTATATTTTTTTACAGTTCCTAAGAATTATACTTCGACATTAGAAATAGAACTTATACGGGGTGTAAGTTTAAATGGGGCTCATATACAGGGTGCCCCGAAATTCATGCAACAAAATTTGGTTATATATTCTTAAGACAAATTTAGGGGACCCGTATTTTTTCTTTTTGCCAACTGGCCCCCCTCTTTTGGAGTTACAACATCCTAAAATCTGCCCTTAAGAAGTCTTTTTTATATCTCAAAACCATGTACAAAAATCACTGAATTTGGTATACAAGAGTTTTATGACATGTGGAATCTCACAGTGCTTTATGGTGAGAAACTCCCTTAAGATACTTTTTCGTGGGCCCCCTTGCCTTTGGAATCAGAAAAATTTGGTCGCAAATTTGATTTTTTAAAAAAGTATTAGCTAGAAAGCCATTGAATTTAGAAACTTTTTTGTCTCTTGATATTTGTTTCGTAAAACGCAATGTTTTTGCGGAAAATGGCGAATCACGATATTCGTTCGATCACATTCTGACATTTTTCTCGAAAACATTTGCGTTTTACGAAAAAAGATAAAGAGACAAAAAGTTTCTAAATTTAATGGCTTCCTAGTGGACAGATAATTTTTAAGAAATTTAAATATGCAACCAAATTTTTTTGACTCCAAAGACAAGGGGGCCCATAAAAAATTGTCAATGTAGCACCATGATTATTATTGTAAAAGTAAAAAAAATCGCCAAAATTGGGGTTAAAAAACATTACTTTTTAGGGAATTTTTTTGGGGTTTTTAAATTGGGTATAGGACCTTCATAGAAAACTCCATGTTATGTAGAATCATCACCAAATTTCATCAAAATCGGTTCAATAGATATTGCATAATAATTCTGCAATCCAAATTTAAAAAAAAAATTGCAAATTTTCAAAATTTTGCACAGCAAAAACCAAGGCCTTTAAATACTTGAAAATTTAATCGCATATAGAAGGCCTCTCAAGCTTTCAAATGTTTTTCTGAAAAATTCGAATCCGTCGATTAGGAGAGCTCTGGTGCTTGTTTAAACATTGGTCGAATTTTTGTACTTATAAACAATTAGAATAACTTTGTGAATATTTAACCAAATCAATTTTTTTAAAATATTATGTGACTAAATTTTCAAGTATCTAAGGGCCTTGGTTTTTGCTGTGCAAAATTTTGAAAATTTGCAAATTATTTTTCAAAATCTGGATTGCAAAATTATTATGCAAAATCTATCGAACCGATTTTGATGAAATTTGGTGTGATGATTCTACATAACACGAAGTTTTCTTGAGCCAAGTATGAAGGTCCTATACCCAATTTAAAGACCCCAAAAAATTCCCTAAAAAGTAATGTTTTTTAACCCCATTTTTGGCGATTTTTCCGAATTTTACAATAATAATCATGAATCATTTAATTTGTAACTAGTCATATTTTGTAAAAAATTAAATTACAAACATTTTTTTCCTCTTCCATTTTCGCCTAAAATCAACTCTTGAAAAGATAAGTAGGAAGAAAAATATGACATTTTTGGAATTTTTTTAACATATGCCGCCAAAAGTTAAGCCCACGTTATTTTTTATGCACATAGAAAATTTTAATTTCTAGTGATATTTGAAAGCCAAAAAGCCAAAAATATATACGATTCACCCAAACCAAAACAGATACCGCCTAGTCTATAAAAGAAAATAAAAAAATCAATCAAAACGTGTAAAGAAATTTATACCACCCCATTTAAAAAAAAATTATCGATGACGTCAGCACTCATTTAATGACGAAAAAAAAAAAAATTTGCGTCAGTATAAAGAAAATAACATCGAATTTAAAAATATATGTATATACTTTACAGGGTGTCCAAAAATGGTTAACCGAGTTATAGCTCGGGGCCTTTATAACAGAGTTAAACAGAGTGTATAATTGAGAAAACTTTTTTTTTTACTTTATCATTAATCTGCAATTTCTGGACCATAGAGTAGGCCCCCCGCAACACTGGCGGCATCTTCTGCTGCGACTGATTGCCTTCACTAAATCCTCCCTTCACGGGTCATGTGAGTTTTGACTTCAGCGGCACGCACGCGTTCGGCACCTTCGATCTCGCAGTGCTAATCAGAATTTCTTTCTACCTTGATGCCTATTGTATTCCGGTAAATTGCCCATAACTTCCACAATTATTAGAGTTTCAATATAAAATTTACACACAATATTCTTAAGTCTACAAACTTTAATGAACAAAAAAAATTGAAACAAACATTATTTTCTACTCGGATATTCCCCCTTAATAAGTTTACAGATTCTGTTTGGCCCTGACTCATGTCAAGAAAACAAATTGCATCTATAATCTTTTAATATTCCTAGATTGTTGCACACATTCTTGTATTTTTTTTGTGAGATTCTAAACTGATCATTTAGAACATAATCAATTCTTGTTTTGCCAAAAGTTTTCTCTTTAATTATGATCTGAATATTGTATTACAAAATCCATGTTTTTTTTTATTAGCTTACGCAGATTGTAAATGGAAAAATTCCATTCAATTCAACAAACTTTTTTCAGTGGAGATATACAAACACACCATATCATCACAAAATATTCCACTAAATACTACAATAAAATGAAACCTGATGAAACACAACACTATCAGTGGCGGCTTGTCGTATGAAGCAACTGAGGCTGGACCTCACTGTAAAATTTGGCTCTCACACCGTTATATTTTAATATCTACTATTCTACAATTAACCTAAATCAACAGTTAGGTAAACTAATTTCCAATTACCTATTACATTTATCAAAAATCATCAGCGCGGCATTGGGTACTGTTACTCCCCATCACAGTGAGGCCAGAATTTCTTTGCCTGTAGGCGCGTCACACTTGCCTACAATGTACTACTTTCCCCTCCACGCGAGGCGGTTAAAATAACGTGATTTACGGGGGAACTTAGGCCCACTTAAAGCTGCTTATACTTGTCATGTAGTTTCAGTTCGCGGTTAATGTACGCGTCGCATAGTACGCGGGTAGTGTCTGATGTCAGTGTGAGGGAGATACAAAGGCTTTAAGGATAAGGACAAAGCAGGTATTAATTTAAAGTAAATAAAAAAACAATTTCCTTAACAACAAAACAAAGTAAGACTAAATTTAACGAAATTTAATAGATACCTATAGGTAGCTAATAATGAATCTCTCTCACGATATTGCTTTATCTCTTGTAAAGCTTTTTTCAAGAAGTTAACTACTGCTCTAAACAAATTAAAATCGCTAGTCAAAGAATTTCTGAATTAAGAACTGAAGAAAAATTAAAAATATTTTTAATTATGCAAAAAATATTACTGGACTACCAAGTAAAAGGGGCAAAAGTGGCGACGAATTGAAAATATTTTCGAAATATATTTCCCTTTAATTAAGTACCTACCATTTTGGGAATTTACATGATTTAAATTTTCCTGCTTTAGTAGATTCCTTAAAATTTCACGAATATGCAAACAAATTTCCCGACAAATCGTTTGAATGTTTATTACGAATGTATCCAAACGTTTTTGAAATAGATAGGTTGGAAAGCGAATTTAATATTTTGTATAGAGATGAACAATGTCGTAATTTAGAGGTCCAAAAAAACCGGTAGAAATATTATGTGAGGAATTTAAAATGGTATTTTCGGAAACATACAAATTGTTTTGCTCAGTTTTAACAATAATTACTGCAACAAGTGTCGGTAGGAAGAAACTTTTCGTGTCTTAAGCGCATTAAGACTTACCTAGGTTAAGAAATATCATGGCACAAGAGCACTTAAACAACTTATCAGTGATGGCGATAGAAAAAGAATTATTGCAAAGTCTTAGTGCCGATTCCCAATTTTATGAAGACATTATAAGTAAATTTGCAAATTTAAAAGACAGACGAATAAATCTGTTTTATAAACACATTCACTATGTTTTTAAAATATTTTGTTAAAAGTTAAGCCTAACGAAAAGCTGGCGGCGTTGTTTTATATGTAAATATATGTTAGATAATTTTTTTTTCTCATAGCTGCGCTCGGTACGTAATTGCCAGTTGTCGAAACTAAGTGACTTTTGAGTCACGTAGTGTATTGTGTATTGTTTGAGTTTTGCTAACTGCAATTTCTAAACATGCTTTATTTAAGGTAGGCCGACAAAATTTTACAAAAGTCCAGAACCAGAGACCGGATGTAGTGTATCCGAAGGATTTTGGTGCGCTGATTACGAATCCGAGCTCAGAATTGGTCCATCGCCCTAGGTTCTGGAGATATTCTAACCTAAAATGCAAAAATCGCGTTTTTTCGCTATATTCGGGGTCAGATTACAACGTGAATTAATTTTTTTTCTAAAATCCTGTTAAACCACCCTACTAAGCGCACTTCGATTTTTTTGAAAATCTTTTTTTTTCCATAGAGATATGATAGTTTGAAGTTTAGTACTTCAGCGATTTCGTTACAACATGGAAATAAACAAAATTTATCCGAAGACGAGATATAAAGTACTTATATGTTTCTTGAGTCGCTGAATTTGAAAATATCGGCGGACCTGCTCCATAACCTCAATATTTCAAAATTTTCTAACCTAAAATTGAATACTATACACTGAGCTCGTAAAGTTTGGAATAAATTCGAAAAATCGTTATTGAAGGGTTTTGAAAGGAAATCCTCGGACACGTCAACTTTAGTATATAAAATGTCACTTTTTTCAGCCATCGACTTTTTTTTTGTTTTGTTTGTTTTTGATGTATGACGTCATCGGCAATTTTTTTAAATGGCAGCCCATATTTTTTTACACGGATTTCGATAGAGCACATTTTTCTGAGTACGAATATGTCAAAAACGTATGACCTTCAAGATGGAAGTTTTCGAGATATTCGGTTCCAAAGTTTCAAGAATACATTATACAAGCGATGACAAAATACTAATCATTTATCAAGGAAGCGCTGGAAAAATTACAGTTTTGATAGTTGAAGTTTGTCCTCGCAAGTTTGTGTTTTATTTTAAGTTGATTAATCATTATTCTATCAGAATTCATTTTATTTGAAAATGGTCCGTCGTTTGAGTGAAAGGGAAAGAATCGAAATTTTTATGATCAGTTACGGAGCATGAATATTATGTCAAAAACGTACGACCTTCAAGATGGAAGTTTTCGAGATAATAGACAGTTTAAAACACAAACTTGCGAGAACAAACTTCAACTATCAAAACTGTAATTTTTCCAGCGCTTCCTTGATAAATGATTAGTATTTTGTCATCGCTTGTATAATGCATTCTTGAAACTTTGGAACCGAATATCTCGAAAACTTCCATCTTGAAGGTCATGCGTTTTTGACATATTCGTACTCAGAAAAATGTGCTCTATCGAAATCCGTGGAAAAAAATATGGGTTGCCATTTAAAAAAATTGCCGATGACGTCATAGATCAAAAACAAACAAAACAAAAAAAAAGTCGATGGCTGAAAAAAGTGACATTTTATAAACTAAAATTGACGTGTCCGAGGATTTTCTGTCAAAACCCTTCAATAACGATTTTTCGAATTTATTCCAAACTTTACGAGCTCAGTGTATGAAGCAGATACCTATGTATACAAACTGTTACATTCGGATGCTAAGCTCATGACAGGTTCATCATAATGCGCTATAACGTACCAAACGTTAACCTAAATACGCAATAACCAGCGAGGGTTAAACCCACGATAGGTTAACCTAAATGCGCAGTAACCTGTGAGCGCTGAACCTTAGTACTAAACTTCAATCTATCATATCTCTGGAAAAAATTGATTTTCAAAAAAATCGAAGTGCACATAGAAGGGTAAGAGTGGTACTTTAAGATGGTTTAACGCGATTTTAGAAAAAATAATAATTCACGTTGTAATCTGACCCCAAATATGGCGAAAAACCGCAGATTTTTGCACTTTTAGGTTAGAATATCTCCAAAACCTAGGGTGATGGATCAATTATGATCTCGTATTCGTAATCAGCGCACCAAAATCCTTTTGGGTACACTCGGTCCGGTTTCTGGTTCTGAAAATTGTCGGCCTGTGTAATTGATTGATACTGAATTTATTCCATTTGGCTGTTCCACACTGTATAAATCGGCTATTTCATTCTATTGTCAGCATCAGAAAATCAGCATACATACCAGTATGTAATAATAAATTATGTGCTCATACAGGGTGTTCCAGGATTAATGATTGTTGAGAATAATCTTTAAATTTCAACTTAAGTGAAATAGCTGGTGTATACAAATAAGCTGTGGTAGATTTTGTTTTTCTTTGAGTGGTGAAGCAAATCTATTATAATTAAAGGATGTTACAATTTATGTTCTTTCTAGGTTATTGAAATCTCAGATTCAGGAGAAGAATAAGCCGTTTTATTTATTTTTTCAAATTTTTGTGAAAAATTTTAAATTATGGCAAAGGTGACTTAGGCCTCCAAATATTTTTAATTAAGAGTAGAAAAATGTACTGCCATTAAGTGTTATTGAAATGTAATATTTACTTTAATAAGTAGATGAATTTTTTTGTTTAACCATTGTTCTGATTTCATTTTCATTTCATAGGTACATGTGTGTTATTAGTTAGTATTATGTAGGCTATTCAAATTGTTTTTATATGTTTATTTTTCCATGTCAAATAAATTTTTTATTCAATGTGTTTTGATGTATTTTTTTTACAGAGGTCAATATAAAAGTCCCACACGTGAGTTCATAGGATATTTTTTAGACCAGAAATCGAGAGTATTGGAGTTGCCTGTATTTCATATTACAAATAGCAGAAAATAGACCCATTTTTATTTATATCTTTTTAAAACGAATTTTCAAAAATTGTCAAGAGAAAGTACCTTTGTTTTTAAAAATATTTACTTAAGAAAGTTATTGAGAACTAAAAGTTATGACAGATCGTCAGTTTTCAGTTTGAATTTGAATAATGTTTTATTGTAACGTGTGATGGTAATATAAATAGCTAGAGGATTTCACAGTGTCTAATGACACTTAGAGTGTACGATAATTCAATAAACATAGAATCTAAATAAAAAATTTAGATAAATTTGGAGCGAATATATTGAAGATGAATTTTTCGAGACAAAACGTTTAAATTTGGTTCGGGCTGAGGCAGTACGGTATTGGGGTTCACGAAGGTTTGCAAAAAATGTAATAAAATTTCCAGAGCCGTATTTAAAAAAATTAAGTTGATGGTCCTGGAGAGACGAAAGGTTACATATAAAAATTGATTATGCCATTCGATAGAGGGCAAAAAGTTGCCATGAGAAAGTGTTGTTCTTTTTTTAATATCACCTCAAACAAGGCTGAAATGAAACAAAAACGAATTTACAAAATTTCGATTTTTTTCCAAATATTTTGAAAACTAATCATGTTAGCCTAGATTTTTTAGAGGCATAATGTTGGTCCCCTGATAATGCAACTTTGCCCCCATTTAAGTTACTTCGTATCTCTCACCGTTTCCGAGATCCCTGTTGTGAGAAGCAAATTTGTAACAGCCTGTATTTAAAGAGGGGTCATCAAGAAGAACCAACTTAATAAAGACCTTGATGAAGACACGTGGATACAAATTACAAAAAATGAAACGGCACAAAATATCCGATACTGTCAAAGGTATATAATAATAATAATAATAATAATTTATTTAATCCATAAAATCATAAAACATGACATCAGACAGGTCAATAAAAGTCAGTTTACAAAACTACAACACATAAAACAGAAAAAAGTAAAAAATGTGAGTAAAATATATATTTTTTTTTTTATTTTTTTTTTTTAAGTAACAAACTCGTGTATATTATAAAAACATTTCCTAATTAGATAACTCTTAAGTTTAGTTTTAAAAAGATTATAATTTAATTCAGTCTTAATGTCTAGAGGTAACTGATTCATGAATTTAATACCCATGTATGACGGAGATTTTTCATAAAACGATGTTCTATGAGAAGGTATTCTTAATATATTGCCATATCTAGTCTGGTAACTGTGACTGTCAGCGTTTCTAGTAAAATAACTTCCATTTTTTAGAACCTCTAATATGCACTTATAAATATAAATACAGGGAAAAGTTAATATATTATTTTCTATAAAGTAGGGCTTACAAGAAGTTAGTGAAGGAATTCCAAATATTAATCGGATAATTCTTTTTTGTGAAATAAGAATTCTATTAACATTGACGCTACTGGCACTACCCCAAACAATAACATTAAATGACAAGTGGCAATAAATTATTGAGTAATAAATGTCAATAAGCTTTTTGGTATCAAATATAGACATTAACTGTAGTAAAGCATAGTAGCCACTATTTAACATTTTGCACACATATTCAACATTACTGTTCCAGCTCATATCACAGTCAATAAAAGTACCTAAAAATTTAGTAGTATCAGATAGTTTGATTATTTTATTATAGGGAACATATACACAGTTTGAGTTTTAAATTTCCTAACTTCCAAAGTAAAAATATACTGGGTGTCCCATTTAAAATAACCAAGTTATTACTGTTAAAAGTTGAGAAAAGTATTCAGCAGTTTTTTTGAACACCCTGTACAATACAAAGTGACGAACGATAGTTATAATAATTTATAACTACAAGGATCAAAAATACACTCCAAAGCTACTTCCTTAAAATAATTTTTTTATTGCTGATATTAAATTTGTACGCTAAGCCTGCACTTTCACTAAAATTGAAATATCACAAGCAATAAGTTCTAGAACCTTTAATAAAGTTCAACTATTTTTTTACGGTGCTTTCAAAAATGCAGTAAAATACAGGATGTTCCATTTAAAAATACATAACTTTGATATGCTACACTTTTCCTGGACACCCTGTATATTTTAAAATGTAGCCATAATCAACACGTACCCAGCTAAACAGGTTTCTATAACATTTGCCGTTTGGTCCCTAGTGACCGAGGCATTACTGGCAGCCCACCCTGTATTTAATTTGGCTTGCCCAATATAAAAAATTTTGGGTAAGGGACCCACTTATACCAATGGGTTATCCAAAAGTCCCGGCAAGGCAGAAAAACTTTCGAATAATGCATTTTGGATAAAAATGTTTCAGACAAAAGTGTAAGGATTTTGACCTGGCTATCTGATGGTGACCTTGGATTTGACCTTCAAGGTCATTTGAAAGTTAAGTTTTTTAAATGGGAACCCCTATTTTTTATTGTGGATTTGGAAAAAGCAGGAAATTTTGTATAACTATGACCTTGACCACAACCCTCAAGGTCATTCCAAGGCCAAAGTTGTTTTTTTATTGGTAACCCCAATTTTTTATTACGGATTTAGAAAGAGTTGAAATTTAACCCTCATGTACGACCATGACTACGACTTTGACAATGACCCTCAAGATGTCAGTCAGGTTAATTTGTTCGAAAGTTTTTCTGCCGTACCGACACTTTTGGATAGCCCTGTACAGGATGTCACCTAAATGGTGGTGATTTAATCAAACTTGCTTAAACGAAAAATGTTTCAAAAAAAGTTACAGGGTGTTAAAGTTTACTTTTTATTTCTTTTTCTCCTTAACATAAATAGAATCCACTTAATCAATTTGAGCAAAATTTGCTGTTGCTTAGTTTCTCTTCATGAACTATGTTAAAATGAACGCCCTGTATGATTTAACCTAATAGGACCACACCATTTGGGTTCTAGATCATACCATTGAAGTATGTAACATTTGTTAAATGTTAAAATCCTATATTTAAATCAGCTGGTTTTACGAAACAAAAAAAAATATGTATTAAAAAATTTATTCATTCTATAATAACAATTAGTTAAAAAACATACCTAGATATAAAAATTAAAATCACAAACAATTAAATCCGACCAGGCAAGGCTCAGATCACCTATATTATTATATATAAGTACATCTTGAATTAAATTAAACTGTGTAAATGCTTCAGTCAAAAAGAATTTAAAAACTTAAAACTAATGCTGACTACTTTCTGAAAACTTGACCCTCCTTTGGCGGGTATCGATTTCATTGCTCTCCGCGTCGCTCAAGTTACCGTCTAAGCTCTGAACGATGGAACTAGTAAAGCTAAATCTATCGGAATCGTTTTCAGTCGATTCACTAACAGTGGAACTCAAATCGATATCCCCGAACTTCCTGGCATCAACAAATTTTATTTCGCCCGCTTGTACGACGTATATGCCTTTCTTGTTATACCCGACATACCTAAACTTATCCACTTCCAACCTGACACTGTCCAAACTCGTAATGGAGTCACTGCTGCTCTCGTTGCAAGTGTCCTCGTTTATTTTAACAATTTCTATGGCGGCGAACTGAACAATGTATAAATAGGGCTTGCTGAAGTGAAAGGCGAGCGGTAAATGTGTAGATTTGATCTCTGTGTTCCTAGACGACCTGCCGTACTCGTCGACAAATACTGAGAATTCGTTGAAGCACAGTAAGTACTCTTTCGGGTTCTTGGAAATCCGCAGTATAGCTAGCGGGAACGATCCCATTTTGTAACATTTCACCGCTTGCTTTAACTTGACATCTGATAAATCTAAGAACTCGTCCGCTTGGAACGTCTGCAAGTCGATCTCGAAGAACTTGTTGGCTCCCACTATTAACGTGTATTCAGTGAACAAGGCGCAGCTAGTAGGTTCGGCAGTGTCCAGAATCCTCTGCGGCACCAAATCCGATGTCTCCATGTCATAACTTAAGATAATAAGTTGTTTCGAGGTAGCTATGCACACTTTTTGGTGAGTTGGGAATTTCGATACTTGTAATATGTGAAAACCGTTCAAATTGTTAACGTTCACGTTTGTGTACTTAAGTCGCGGCTTGGTGCACTGGGCGCACTGCGATACGTTTATTAGGTGGTTTAAATCGCAGGATATGAGAGTGTTTTTGTCATTCACGATCATGAGGACGGTGTTGGTGTTTGGCATTATAGAAATGTGGTGTACTGCTGTTAGTCCCTCGATGTGCAATAAGTTTTTGTCATAGTAAGCGTAAAGGCCTTTCTCAGCGCCTATTATTTTTATATTTTCTGTTAAATCGACAACACAATTAACATTCACGTCTTCAGGGAGGCTCAGGAGCTTGTCGAATTTCGGTGTTTCGAAATCCTCACCGTAAATTTTTTGTAGAGCTAAAACAAGGAGAAATGTGAAAAAATCATACAGGGTATTTCAATATTCTACCAAAAAAATGTACAGACAGTTCTGATTTTATTTTTTATATTATTTTTCATACTCAGTTTGAACAGTAAATATAAGTGTAATGATTTTTGCAAAGAAATAATGAAATTTCAACAAGAGCACTTGTACGTATAGTTATTCACAAAATATTTTATTTCCCCTACTCGTTTGGCTTTTGTATAGGGTGTTCCAAATTTCACGTAAAATTTGAATTTTGTAGCATTTGTGTGGTAGTGTTGCCAACGAAAAAAAAATGACAGCGTGACAGCTGACAGCTGAGGGTTACTAAAAATGGAACTCTGCACGAAAAACAATGCATTTTCATTGTTGACCAATATTTTAAAAATAATGAAGGTTTGGCAGCTACAATTCACAATTTTCGTACAAAATATAGTCAGAATAGTGATTTAACTTCATAAACTGTGAAAAGAATTGAAAAATTCGGGGCGACTGGATCAATTAATGATCTTAAACACTCTGGCCGTCATTCGACAAGCCGTTCAACACAAAACGTCGAAGCAGTTCGTGAGAGCGGTGCTGAGAGTTCAGGAACATCAATTTGGTACCATGGTCAAAAACTGGTCATTTCGAGAAACTCTGCAGCATATGAACTGAAACCTATTGACCATGCAGAGCGAAGAGAATTCGTTGAATTGAACAAAATTGTCGCGTTTAGTGTTCAGAATGATTGTTGAGAAACAAATGAATCTACGTGTCACTAATGCGGATTTTGGACTGTAGGCATCATTGGACCATACTCCTTCAAAAATGCAGTGGATCAGGCAATAACAGATAATGGTGCTCGCTATCGCAACATAATATTTCAATTTTTTTTCAAGATATGAATGTAGACGAGATGTGGTTTCTACAAGATGGTGCCACATGCCATACAACCCGAGAAACAATTCAATTGAATGAATGAATCATTTCCTGGTCGTGCAATTTCCCGTTTTGATCAGAATAGACTGCCCGGATAATGTGACTTAACACCGTGGGACTTTTTTCTTTGGGGTTTTTTTAAGTCTAAGGTTTATGCCAACAAGCCCATGACCACCGAAAATTTCGACAAAAGAGCGTGTATGTGCCATCAAAGCCATGCAGGCCATTCACCCGATATGCTATTCCATACGTAACCCTATACTGCATACTTTATGAATCGATAAATAATTTACAATTATTAAATTTAAACTTTTGTTTTCTATCAATAATAATTCGTTAGTGAATTTTGGAACATCCTTTACATAAAAAATAAGACTGAAGGCATTTTTAAGCCGGCACCAGACACATTATGAATACTTGCAAGTAGAGGCACTTGCCATGTACACTAAAACTGCTTTATCTTTTCCATTGCGTCACAAGAAAGATTGGAATGAACTAAAACGAAAAATCCTAGTCAAATTAGTCAACGTTTTCATTTAATTGAAATGTCATCTTCACCATTCCCAAATTTGGATATCTCTCAAATTTTATTACTGGTTGCCTATATCATTACATTTAGGTACCTATTATACAGGGTGTTAATTAAGTATGTACAATAAATTCAACAGACGATTATTTGAGTGATTTTAAGACAAAAAGTTCATATAAACATTGGTACGCAGATGCTTCGTTTTGAAGATACAGGATGTTAAACTTTTGTAAAGAAATTGCTATTTCGTAAATATCTTATATACCCTTTACCCAATTTTGTTGTAATTTGGCAGTGTTATTTGTACTTTATGTTATTTTGATGTTACATATTAATAAAAAATTATAAAAAAATTATAATTTCCATCTTTGATGCTCTTCCTCCTCTGATTTTTTTTCATTTGCTAGGAATCGCCCTATAAATTACTGAAACTATTTATATACAGGGTGATTCACAAATGGTGACCGAAAATGAAATCTCATATTCTTTGGTAAATTTTTAAGGGGTTTTTCCTATAAAGTTTTTATCTAGGACGCCTCATTAAAAAGATACAGGGTGTTAAACTTAAAAAAATATTTACAATTTTTTAAAATAATTTAAAAACTATACTCCGCGATCGAAATTATAGAGTGATTCATCGCTAGCTCTTGGACTAGTAAGGAGGATGAGGCGTGCGGGGATCGAAAATGTAGAAAATATGGAAAAAATATAATAAAACATAACATCTATTATTTTTAGAGGTTTTATCGAGAAAACTTCAAAAATATTTTAGTAACATTTTGTTTTTAAATTTTAAGTGTTCTATAAAACGATGCCGTCTTGGGCATCGATAACCCACCACCACCCGGCTTACACCGCCGCACAATATTGTAGTGTTTACTATTAATATATTTATTTAAGTAGGTACTTACATATATTATAATAATTATCTCACGAATATTATCACTGCCACATAATCACTTTACTATTAATATATTTAAATACTTACATATCACATTATATATTTCACATATCACTGTTGCTATCACTATCACTAGAATCATCTTCACCCAAATGAATAATGACTGGTTCTATGAACACTTCTACCGCTGTATCAAGATCCCACATACGTTGTTCCTCTTTCTGTGCATGTCCAATACACTTACACCATGTTTCAGCAGTGACGTGATTAATAGCATCCTGTAATAATAATTTCATGTCGTTTATTTTAAAGGTGGTGTTCGTTTTCGTTTCGTGCGATTTAATTCTTTATTTGTGCCCAAACCAACTCAATTGGGTTTAATTCACAGTGGTATAGCGATAAACAGAGTACACGAATTCCTCGATCTTTGGCCATCTCATCCACTACATACTTAATGTATTGACCTTTTTCTCTTTAGCATACTATTCTGATTCCATTTCAAATATCGAAAATTCATGTCACACATTATTCTTCTAAGAACCTTATCAGAGAAATTAGGAATATCCTCATCTTCAGCTATTGCAGCTTGAATTTTCTTTATCGTTGGTATTTCATTTCTAAAGAAAAATCCATGAATTTTCCTACGTATGGAGTATTTCACGTCAACGTCGACTTCTATTTTCTTCCTCCCTCGTGTTTCCACTTTTTTCTTCTTTGGATTCACTTCTACACTATTTTTTATGGCACGATAAACAGTAGCAACGGATACTTTTGTCAACGAACTACACATATCAACAGCTTCACTTACACTTGTATTAGAATTTCGCGACCGAATTCCTTTATACACATTTTTTACCATTATTAATTCCGCATCGCATAGGTTAGGGCGTTTATGAGCAACAGACCGTTTGCCACAACCAGCACTTTGATCCATTTTAATTATTATTCCTATGTTTTAAAACGTCCCGATTGTATTTTTTTAATTTATAAATTTACTATAGTCACGGAATATGCAAACCTTCGCGCGCGCTTATAGTTTGACGTTTCTAACTACGGCTAACTCGAATTCTACGTACGTCCGTTTACACCCACTAAAAAGAGCATTTCCCTGTCTGTAATAAGTGTGATAGATAGAGATAGGAAATAAATCACGTTCAGTGTAACTCAATCTATGACTGTTATAGATCCTATCGATGTGCAAAGAGCAAATAATATTGAACCGTTATAAAAATCATTTTAAGTTTTATACACTTTACGTTAATAGTGTTTCTATATTATGTATGAATCACTCTCTATAATTTCGACCGCGGAGTATAGTAAGAGAAATAATTTGAAATTGGTCACATGTATTTATGTAAACATTGTCCAAAATCTGAGGGCTTTTCCTAAAATTTACATGCTCCAGTGGCGGAGATACAGGGTGGCATATTTTTTTAAATAAAACAGTACACTACTGCTTTACAGTAACAACCATGATATTTTCGGTTTCGTCTTACAATTTTCTACAAATTACTACTCTCTTATGTTTTTGGAAAAAAGCCTGATTTTCGAGCAAAACTTAAGAAACCAACTGGAAACAGTTTTACTTAAATGACATGACAAGCACTAATCATTCGGTTATTTATTTGAATAAAGAAATTAATAACATTAGTCGTCATTTTAATGATTTTATTTGAGTAAATACTAAAAAAATACCTCCATTTCCATAGACACAGGCGCGACATCTTTTTAGCAACGAAAATGTAATTTGTTCAAAATTTATTGTTGCTTGATTTTGATGAAAAGCATTGTATATTTTTTCTTCTAACTGCTCAAAATGTCAAAGTTGCTATCACAGCCCACTTTGTAATTTTAAAGAGATTATATTCGAATATCGAAGTATGTTCTCAGTTCGTTTTTTAAGTTTTACTCCTCAAAAATCAGGCTTTTTTCAAAAAACATATGAGAGTAGTAATTTGTAGAAAACTGAAAGACGAATCCGAAAATATCATGGTTATTTCCATAAAGCAGTGGCGTACTATTTTATTTAGAAAAATATGCCACCAATACCCTGTATCTTTACCACTGGAGAATGTAAATTTTAGGAAAAGCCCTCAAACTTTGGACAATATTTACATAAATCAATTTCAAATAATTTCACTTACTAGTCTTTAAATTATTTAAAAAAATTAAAAAATTGTATCTTTTTAACGAAGCGTCCTAGATAAAAACTTTATAGGAAAGACTCCCCTTAAAATTCACCAAAGAACACAAGGTTTCATTTTTGGTCACCATTTGTGAATCACTCTGTATAATTCAAGTTATATGGTTTTTAAATTTACTGACAAGTAATCTCTAGAGAAAGCTCATCTAATTATAAATATAAATAGAGCAAAAATAATACATTTTAAAATTGATTTTTGTGTATTTAAAATCGAGAATTTAAGAGGAAGTCAGAAGAATTCACAGGGAATTCAGAGGAAGTCAGTGGAATTCAGGGACAAATCAGAGGAAGTCAAGAGGTACTCAATAGGAATTCAAAGGAAGTCAGAGGATTTCAAAAGGAATTCAGAAGAAATTAGAGGAAGTTGGAGGAAATCAGGGTAAATTCCTTTGAATGAAGAAATTCTGGTGTTCAAAATTATAAACGTGGTTTACCCCTCGAAATCTTCAGTATAATTATGTTGGAAGAAAATTGTAACACTTTGTATATTGCTTTGCTTACCTAAGAACCATTTGTCCTTATCTTGTGCTGAAAGTGTCATAAAGATAAGACACTTCTGAGGCCAGCAAGTCGTATCGGGGGCTACTTCTACCTTCAGAATGAAGGCTAAGTCACTATTTGCAACCGGAACCCCTATTTCGGAAGGCAAAGGTTCCAGAATTACCTTCCCATGGCTATTTACGGGTTTCAAGGAAAAATCTTCAATCAACATAGATCCCTCTTCGTTCGGGGGTTTCGTATAGATGTTTATGGACGTATTCGTCAAACAGGCATAGCGTTTCTCCCAAGAATTGGTTTTCCTAAAAATAATATTTTTAAAAGAAAGTAATTAAAAAAGGAAACAATAACTTACCCTGGTACTTTAATCCAACCTTCGATGTTAACAATTTCATTCTCGGACAACTTCGACGCTGACACATCGTTTTTAGGTTCTAAGCTGTCTTTGTAGTGTTTGGCAAATCCATGGGGTAAACCACAAGTGTTGGGAATCGCTGTAGCGCATTGCGGATGAGTCGTAACGTTACACTCCTTACAAACGTTCATGGATCTCCCTAGAGCTATCGAATCAGAGCAACTCGCGCATTTCATCGATGATTTGGCACACAATTTCGAGTCAAACCTAACAGTTATTAGATATTAATTTTAGGTAACTATAAAGAAAAATAACACAGTTTCAAACTTTCATAATTTTTTGTGTGTGTATGAACACTAATCGTCACCTTTTGAACTCGATAGTGAACTGATTTAGTTGCTTTGTTCTGGTTGCACAAAGTTGCAAAATTAAGGATTACATTGGCAGAAAACAAGGGAAAATTTGACATTTTTAACAGGAATCTGAAATTGTTTTAAGACATTGACAACTGACAATTGTTTCAGTGATTGGTCGAACCAGTTAAAATTCAGCGAGTAGATAATTCGATGGTCATCCCAATCAGATCGAGAATATCAGGAGAACTATAATCAAGATCGTTCAGGGCCAAAATTAGAGCAGCGACAAAACTATTTAGCTACAAGATCACAATGACATGTGATGTAGATCATATATGGACAACCCCCGGCCCTCCACCAGCTTCAATCCGGCCCACGAGAGATTCAGAAAATTCAAATAAAGATATCAATTCAAATCGATAAATAATATTATTAAGCGTACGCAGTGGAACGCCACAGATCGAGTCAGAATTAGTAGAGTACGATCGAGAAACCTCTCAGCGCGCACGTCATCTCATTACTTCTTAACAACTGATAAAGTTCACATCGCATATTCGCGAATGGTCAAGAGTATGACGTGGAAAATATTCCAGCAAATTCTATCAACATGTCTGGTTTAAAAAAGCAGAAAGTGGGCACAGAATGTCGTCAATTCCAAGACAAATGGACTGATGAATACTTTTTTTATCTTGCACAGTGGTAAACCTATGTGTTTATTGTGCAATGAAACAATTTCTGTTTTAAAAGAATACAATATGAAGCGGCACTACTCCAGCAAGCATTTCGCTCAATATAAATTACACACGGGCCAGTTAAGAAAGGATATAATTAAAAAACTCATTACCGATTTAGGGAAACAGCAACAAATGTTCCATTCACAAAAATCAAATCTAGACAGTGTTGTTAAAGCTAGTTTTATAATTAGTTCCAAAATAGCGAAAACATCAAAGTCATTTTCTGAGAGACAGTTTGTTAAAGAGTGCCTAGTAGAAGTTGCAGAACTTTTGTGCCCAGAAAAGAAGAAAAGAGTTTGAGAATGTGAGCTTATCGTGACGTACTGTTTTTCGTCGTATAGATATGATGGCTAGTGATATCAAAAAATCATGACAATAGGTACGTCAACTGTCAGATGGCAGCACCAGAATCGTCCATTCTCGAAATATAAAACGCAACCCTGCCATATTCTGCTAGTTTATCATTTCTTCGTCCTCGAGTTTTCACCCGTTTTCCAAAGAACCTCAATCCAAAACCTCAAAACATCTTTGGATTTGTGCTTAGTTAAAAATTGTGTATAGTAAAAATTATCGAAATCCAAAACTGCGTTATTCTTCTGTACAAATTTTTTAGCTCATTTACAACTGCAACAGACATACATACCTGTGCGGTATATTGTGATGCATCCTTTGTACCGAATTCTGCCTATAAAGATCGCTCTTCTGCTTGCTCGGAGAGTTGACGAGCTGCTGCAGTGCCACTTTACTTTTCGGTGACATAATTTCCGATTTGTGTCTCTGCACCTTATCATTTACCTTATTTATCAAACCCTGACTTGCACTTAACATCGTGGCGGCCTTTAAACGGTACAATTCCTCGTTGAGTTGTTTGTTAGTCTCCCGTTCCTTATACAGTTGCGTTTCTAAATCCTTGTAGTTGAGGATGGGCAGAGGAGGTTGATTCTCCTTCTTCGAACTGCCAAACAGTACCTCGGTGAATGTCCTTTTCTTGTTGTTCAGTTCGTCAATCTGTCAAAATGACAAGGAATGTAACTAGATTTTAACTGGTTCAAAAACTTAAATTGTTTTATTATAAAATCTATTTGGTATTTTAATTGCTAGTAGAAATTAAACCATCGAGATTCAATGATTGATACATTAACGGTCAAAATTGGAATATAGATGGTGTATCTTTGAATCACGGGCATCATTGCACCCGGGCAAGGAATCAAATTAAACCTACTCGACTCCATGTTTTTGGGGATGCTCTTTTAGATGGTGTCCACAGAATTTGAAAAAAACATTCAGACCATGAAAACGGACTTCCAAGTTGAAAAACAGGAATTTTATCCTATTTTCAATCTTTGTACCGTGTTTTGAAGATTCTATCGCTAAGGTAAGTGCCTAAAACCAGTGGAAGAGTGCGTATAATCTCTCAATATAAAGGATATATGATGTGCACATTGACTGATGAATCAAAATAATGGCGGCGAATCGGAAAATGGTGGTATCAGGTTTTACCATTGTTTTATTCAAGAGGCGGGTTTTTTGAGAAAATCTCAAGAGAAAAAAGTCTTAAAATTGGTCTAAGAACACGTTGAAAATTTCCAAGAATTTTTTTGGGACATTTTTCAAATTTTCGACTAGCTAATTTTAACTAAATTGAGTCTCAGAAAAAAAAACGAAGAAAATTCTTGAGCTTCTTTTGATTCTAAATACTTTCATCAATTTTATATATGGAATACTCTCCAAAATGTCCAAAATTCAATAATTTTGAACAGTGATGAAATTCCAGGAAACATGGGGAAAAATTGTGACCCTTTCTATTTTCCATTCTGAATATTTCCGTTACCATCACATTCGCTCCTTTGCCTGAACCTAGTCAATTCTTGTTATCTTGGCTCCAATTGGGTTTATCATGAATGATTCTATTTTAGGAATTAAGCTAACTGATGGGAAAATACCACTGTAAAATTTTTAAACAATCATTTTTTTTTTGGCCTAAAAGATACTTTGAACCTATAATATGGGACAAAAAGTTATACGTGAAAATTTTTTTCTTTGACATTTCCCGCTCATTCCCAAGCGTGTTACCTGCTTCAAGTAAATACCTGCTCGGACAGTACATGTACATCGTAATGTCTTACCTATTGATTTCTAACATCTCCAATACACGAACAGATGGCTTTAGAAAGTATGTATATTCAGTTTGAAGCATTTTTAAGCAAAAGTACGTTAATGTAGTGTTAGTATACATTCGAGAAGGATGTAACTTCTTTGTTCGTAATCACGTTTTTTTATGTAGTATTGATTTTAAAGTTTAAACTGTTTACTTTGAAACTCAAATGAGTGACGAAAAAGTATACGTGGGCAGAAAAGGTATTAAAAAAATCTTATCCAATATGGTGTCTAAAAGTTACATTGAGACGGCCATTGAACAGATTGAGGTTGAGAATGATTCGAAAGGAGTCAGTGTGTCTGCTAAGAAATTAAAAGTTTTTGATGATGATTTTGATATTAATCATGAATTCGGTTACAGAATTGTTAATTTTTTGGCTGTGTTCAATGCCATTCGCAAAACGTGAAGTGTAAAACATGCGATTCCGATATAAAGTATCACAAAAGAAGTCTTCGGAGCTTAGGTTTCAAAATAGTAATCATTTGCCTGAAATGCACAGTTCCAAGCAGTCAATTTATAAGAAATACATATGAAATTAACTGTTCAATAGTGCGTGCTAGTAATGCGACTGTTAGGAGTAGAGCTAAACGGAATAATGTTTTGTGCATTCATGGAATTGCCATGACCTATACTTCAATCTTTTTATGACAGTTTTTTTCAATGTAGAATCACACCCTTAAATATTCGTATATCATTAACACCCTGTATAACTTATTTCAAAACTTTTAAATGTGTTTTTCTCGAAACACGACTTTTCAAAACGGCACACAGCATATAACTCCAACAATTTTCAATATTTTCATTTGAAATTTTAACCACATCTTGAGAACAACATTTTGAAGTGAATTACGTACGGGATTTTTGATAAGTTAATTCAAACATTTTTTATAATCATATGATTGCCCTTTTTTTGGTCGAAAATTGAAGGTTTTACTTCAAATATTTGCCAATCACACAAAAATCAAAATTCTTAAAATCCCGTACGTGTTTCACTAGCTATGTATGTAGATTAAGAGGACATTTTTTATTTTGTTCCAGATTCAAATTCAGAATTCAATTCATTTTACAATATTTATGAACAACTTTTTTTTTCTTTAATAATGCCTAATTACATCATTGAATAGTATTTTCTTATTACTTTTCCGACCATCCAAAAATAAATGTCAAAAAACTCCTTTTTTGGTTGTTAAAGTGGTGTTACCCCTTAAACAGCTCTGAAATATTTTTCAGCATTAATCCAGGTATTGATTGAATTTTAAAGTAATACTAGAAAGGTAGGCAACTAGGTAGGACTTGACCTTTCTCTCGGACCTTCCGCGGTGCGTTGTCTGTGGGTTGGTAAATAATATATAACATTCTTCAAAGAAAAAAAAAAAAAGAAAAAATGCGACCTGCCCGCGATTCGAACTCCGGATCTTTGGCTTTGCAGTCGCGAGTTTACAAAATGAGCTACGGCGATCTAACGCTGGGTGGAGCCTACACGGGCTATTTGAAACTTTGGGTCTCCGCGAATGTTAACAGAAAATTGAAGAATGTTCAAATCAAGTTTTATCGTTAAAGTAGCATGTCTAAAAGATCGAAACCGGTGCCTAACGGCAAAATAACGACTCACCGTGGCCTGATCGGCCGCGAAAACGTGTCAAATGACAAAATTTATTTTGACGTCTTCACTGACGTTTGTCTCCATCTCTGTTCAAATATCGGATATACTTCCGGTATCTCACTCCCACCGAAAAAAGTCAATTTTCGGTGAGGACTCTTTTTAAAGTGGAAATTTCACATCGAAGGCGCGAACAGATCGCCTTCAAAATATGATGTTGGGATAAAGGAAGGACCGTAAAAAAATATCACTTTTAACTGTTACCTTTGACTGCAAATAATCGATCAATTTGATCTGCTGCTTAATAGTCGACTCGGATTTCAACTCCCTTTCCTTATAATAATTGCTTTTCTCAATTAAAACCCCATCGAGTTCGTCCAGCTTTTGAAACAGTTCCATCTTGTCTTGCTTCAACTCTCCAAGCTGGTGGTTCAATTTATGGTTAACTTCTTTCACCTTATTCAACTTGGTTAGATAGTCCGATACTTCTTGCTTGATAACCTTATTTTCCAACTTCAAATCTGAAACTTGTCGCTCGTACGATTTCAACTGCACCTCCAAATCTGATATTTTCTCCTCGGCAATCGTGAGTTCATCCGAAAGATTCGTCGTGCATTGTTTGTACTCCATACATTGAGTTTTGTACGAGGTACACTCGTTTTGCAAACACTGAATGTCTTCGTGCAGCCTTTTTGTTTTCATTTCGGCAAGTAGTCGCAGAGATTTCTCTTCATTGGCTTGTTTCTTGGCTTCCTGGATGTCTTCCTTCGCCTTACAGAGGTCCTGGATAAGCTTCTCTGTGTTGCCGTTTAAAGCCGTGTGTTTCGCTTCAAAGGAGGCGTTTATTTTCTCGTACTCTATAACCTGGTTCTCTAAAAGGGTACACGCTTCTCTAAGTGCGGATAAATTCTAAAAAAAAAATTAAAATTAAATTGTTTATTAACTTTTTAAAGAATTATGTTTATGTTTATTTACCAAATTTGTGTTTTCAATCTCTCGCTTTGTTTTATCTAGTTCGTCACAGATACTGCTTTTTTCTTTTTGTATACGTTCGGCTAAGTCCAATAACCTTGATTTTTCTGTCTCGTATTTTTGTATTTCATTCTCAAGCGCGTATTTTTGTTTTTTTAAATTGAACACATCGGAGTTTAGAGAATTTATTTGAACATCTTTGGTTTTTATAATATCCTTCAGTTCTTGAATAATCATTTTTTCTTCATCCGTCTTTTCTCGTTCTCTAGCCAGTGTATCCTAAAAAAAATTTGTACATGCACTCGTATTGACATCGAAGAGATTTTCGTACCTGCAAATTGTTGTAATTATCCTTCACCTTAATCAATTCCATTGAAATCGACTCATTGATACCGCTGAGTTCCAAGAGAGCAGCTTCACTCCTTTTTTTACTTTCCACTAATGTTTTGGTATACTCTTCGATTTTACCATTTAATTGTTTAATTTCGGCCTGTGCGTCTTTTAATTCCCTTTCCAAAATTCTCTTGTCTATTTTACAATTCCCGAAATCTTTTTCCATGCGCCAGTACTTGGTTCTCAGTTCTTTCAATTCTTGATTTTCCGTAACAATACTCTCCGATTCCTGTAGTTGTTTCTTCAACGCTTGGCATTTTTCCCGCTCTTCAAATAGCTGACTTTCCAATTGTGCCACTTTCCTGTCATTCTGCATGTTCGTGATGGTTTTCTTCATATTTTCGATTTCCTTCTTGTAGTCTTCCAAAGTTTTTGTCTCTATCTGTAGGAATGTGTTCCGGTTTTCTAAGTCTTTAACAGTTTTGTGGCTTTTATCGACGATTTCCTGCAAACGTGCAATCTCTTCTTTATACGTCTCCATTTTGCCTACATCATTTTCCAGAACGGTAACCTTAAAACATTTACAAAAGTTACCAAAAAAAAAAAAAATGAGTCACCCTTAAACTTACCTGATCACTCAGTTGACGTATAACTTTTTCTGCTTCATCCACTTTAGCCTTCAGATCAGTATATTCCTCTTCCGATTGCTTGAGTTTCGCTACTAATGTTTCTTCTTTTTCTTTCATCCTACCCACCTTTCCTTCCAAAACGTTCTTCTGATGCGATTCGTCGCTTAGTTTCCTCTGTAACTCAGCGATGGTACCCTGCGTCTCGCTGGTTATCTTCTCCAGACGAGACTCTAAACCGATGACGCTCCTTCTACTCAAATTCTGTACCTTCTCCAGGGATTCCTTGTGTTTACCTTCCAAATTGAGTGCGTGCTGCAGCTGCTCGTTCAGCATGTTGTTCGTTGTAGTTAGTTGGGTTATCTTTTCCTTCTGCTGTTCTATCTCCAAAATTAAGGCATCTACTTTAGATTTTTCTGCCATCTCCCACTTCAACTTTGCGCCCTTTATGAGGTCAAGTGCCTTGCGTTCTAACTCGGTACGATCCTTCCTTTCCAGTTCTAATGTTCTTTTAAGGGCCTATAAAAAAATTTAAACAATGTGTTTGGAGTTTACTGAATTGCTGCCAGAATTACTTTTCTTCGTTTGAATTTGAGTAATTATATTGGAATTCTTCTAATTAATCTGATTATTACGCACTGCAATAATTAATATTTGAATTAATCTATAAATTATACTATATACATTCTTTAATTATCAAATATTTCAAACATTCTTTTAAATCTTACAAACTCACCATACAGAGTATCTCAAAATTGAATTCCATTGTTTTACTCTATTTTTATTAATATGTCGTGTGTTAAATTTATAAAACACTTTCAATTTCAATTGTACTTGTATACAATAACTCCTACTCCTGTTCTTGTGTCATTTTTTGGAAAACTGATAATTTACAAATTTTTTGTGAAAATATATTTGTAGATAACAGCGTATAGATAAGTTGCATTATTTTGACTTTAATATGGATGAAATACATATTTACTGGATATTGTGTGTGTAATTTCTGGACAGGGTTTTAGTCACAGAACCCTTAGATTATCATTAGTTAATAAATTAATAGCTTCTTTTTGAAGATGTTTTTTGCATTTATATTAGTTCAAAGGACATATGACTACATCCGATGAAAATTATAGAAAATTTATTCATTTGAATTAGCTTTAAAAGTAAAGTAAAACAACAAAAGCATATTAAAAATGTCTAATTAAAAATGTCTAATTAAAAAAGCTGCAGTATTATGAAAAACAATATTGTTATTTTCCAGAAAAAACTTACCACATTCTCAGCAATATTATTTGCCAAATCTTTCTCCAGTCTATCTCTTAAATTTTCTATACTTTCCAGCTTCCTACACTTCTCCTCTAATTTTCTTTCTAAAACATCTCTTTCCTGATCAAAATCCTCATTTTTCACTAACTTCCTCCTCAGACTCTCTACCTCGTTCTTCAAGCCTTCCACCACCTCATCTTTTGCCACGATCTTTCTGTTAAAATTTCCCTCGAAACTGTTCAAGTCATGGGTAAACGTAAACCCTATAAAGGGCAAGTTACGACCCGAAAACTGGGTACGCTTCTTGAAATTCTCAATCGTAGGGGTTTTCTTTTTACTCTGTATGTCTGTGAAGTTGCTAGTGTCATCTACAGAAGTAATTTTTGGTACAAAAGGGGGCACTTGGTCTCTAAGGGTATCAAAATGGGTGTTTCTGAACAAATCATGCTTGCGTATTTGGTTAGCGCTCAGTCGAGTCTTGTGATCTGTTATCAGAGCTTTAACAAAGTTTACGTATGCTTGACTTAGCACAACATCGGGTGGAAACTTCAGATTGTTCTTAGAGTTCATTATTTTTGAGTAAATTAATGTGGAGTTTTGACCAGTAAAGGGAGTGTTGCCGATTGTTAGTTCGTAAGCTACTATGCCTAAGGACCAAAAATCGCAGGAAACCTATCCAAAATTAATTGATCATTATTATGTTTTGAAAAAATATACCATTTTAGGAGTTGATCAACATACGCTATTTATTTCAGTGACTAAGGGGCTATTGTCTTGCTTTTCAAAAACCAGTGTACTGGTAAAATTTGGTACAAAAGTTGTAGAGATTGCTAAATAAATCAATGTTATTAGTTTTTGAGTATCTTGTAAAAGTCCCTAATTATGATATTTCTCTGTGATATTTTAGAATAACATTATTTTGAGGTTAGTTCCTATGGTACACAAGGTGTCCAGAAAATAGTGGGTTACAACTCTACATATATATTTTTTGAGGTTGAGGTTTGAAAATTGATTGATTTTTCATTTAATTTTTTTATTGCCATTACAATTAGATAATTTTTGCTATATTTGAAGCTACTTCTACTAAAGCATTCAATTTACCAGTGGCGACGCACCGCTTCACCTAAAACTTCCGTTTGGTTGTGCAATTTAAAATTATTGTTAGTTTTATATAAATATTATAATTTAGGTATAATTCTATATTGAAAATGTATTGTTTGTTTGTTTAATACTTAGAAATAAACGGAATAGTTGCACGGTGAGTGCCTTCTAAAAAAACATTGCCTTCATTGAGTGTGAACATCAACCTCGGACCATATTCAACTTATAGTACACCCAAGTGACGCACATTGAAAGCAGTCTATATTCTGCTTTTCTTTGTAGCGTTGTTTACAGCGGTTGTCATGACAACAAGGAGGCCAACACTGGATTAAACTATGGCATGGGGGAACGAGTGATACAGAAATTGAAGCAGAATTGCCCATCACCTGCCTTTAACAGTTTATACGATACGCGTCGCCCAGTGTACGATTATAACGGTTCTTAATTAATATTTGTTTTGTATAATAATTATTGAAGAAATGTTTCCCATGTATGATCTAGTATGTATTTTATTGGAAACGCCATTTTCCAGATGGAAAATTGAGGACAAAAGGATTTTTTAAATTGCGAGAGACCTGTGCCTTATCCTCTCGATATAGAAAACAGAGGAAGTCAAAGGACGTGTACGTTCAAAAGTTTCGGAAAGAATGGTACTCGGAGTATAAGTGGTTGTGTGGAAGTGTTCATTTAAAAAAACTTTTCTGTACCCCGTGTTTAAATGTGGGTGTAAAGTCGGGCGTGTGGAATAAGAAGGGATTTAACAATTTTGGGAGTCACGCGAGGCTGTCGTAACCACAAAGCTTCTTTGGAACATAGATGTGCAGTGTGCGTTAATGTTCGCAGAAGTCCACAAGCCGAACTAATATTTCTATTTTTATAAAATCTAAATGAAAATCCTTCTCATGAACGTTAGTTTTTCGGTAATATTGCAAATGCAACTAAAAATTTTCAGATTCATTATTTTTTATAAAATCTAAATGAAAATCCTTCTCACGAACGTCAGTTTTTCGGTAATATTGCAAATGCAATTAAAAATTTTCACCAGCGGTGATTTTTTTTTCTTTTTAGTCAATCAATGAATATGCTCACCTATTCTCAATGTCTCGAGCCGTCACTGCAATTTACCCCCCAAAAAAACGTATAGCCCTAGTTATTTTTTGTGGTTTTAAAGACTATATGAGTCTTTTTAAGTGATAAAGGTACACTTGTCTATTATCGATGCAACTAACCATTTTTGAAATAAACGTATTAAATGATAAAGAAACCAAACTCTCTCCAACATATCTTAATAATATTAATAGTAACAAAAACCTTAAAAGTACTTAATTTGCTGCATAAATGACTAGTTTTTCATGTATCTATTTCTACTAAGATACACCAAAAATTGTATGGTCCCTTCAGCATTAAACTTGTTTATATCGAAACATTTGTTGTACTGACATCAAACTTGTACACCTTTTTCAGTTAAATGGGAAAATCTTAAACCCTATGGTAAAAATAAAAAGTAAGTCTATACATTTTTTTAAGAGACGAGACCACTCCTTAGCTTCTAAAGTAGCTATCAATAAATTTGACACAATAGTAGAAATTGCTTTAAATAGCATAACTTCTAGCCAAAAAGCTTCCAAATTTTTTGAAAATCAGAAATGTAATAAAAAGTAGGTTTTCATTTCACGAGAAGTAATGAAAAAAAATATATAAAAAACTGATATTTTTACAAGTTCTACCCAAATATGAAACAATGCTATAATCATTTCCTATACATCCTGTATGTTACATACTACCTATACTCGGCGGCCAAAATTATAAAGAGTGACTAATACATAATATAAAAACACTATTACCATAATGCGTATAAAATATAAAATGATTTCTATACAGTTCAATATTATTTATCTTTGTGCCGCTCGCCATGCACATCGGTAGAATCTATAATCGTGTATAGAGTTAATCTGAACGTCGATCTATATTTTATCTCTGTCTTTTGCACTTGGTAGGGAATAGGGAAATGCTTTTTTAGTGGGTGTAAACGGACTTGATTTGCCCAACTTGAGAAACGTCATAGCATAAGCGTAGACGAGGAGTCTAATTCCATGGCTATAATAAATTTATAAATTAAAAAAACACAACTGGGACGTTGAGAAAATATTAGATGTTATGTTTTATTATGTTTTTTCAATATTTTCTATATCTTGTTGCCTTTTACGCAGACATGCCAATGGATTTTCGTTCCCGGCACGCTTCATCCCCCTTACTAGTCCAAGAGCTAGCGATGAATCACTATCTATAATTTTGACCGTCGAGTATAAGTATAATGTAAAATTCCACTTTACACAAAAAATGTACTCTTGTTGAAATTGCTGAAATTGACTTCAGTCAAAGTCAGAGTTCTAACTGTGAATATAGGGTGTTGCCTAAGTAATCTAGATATTGAGATTCTTTATCTTTCCAAGAAAAAATATTCATAAATATGCCCTAGAATGTATCGTTTTTGACATACAGGGCATTGCAAATTTAACATTTTTATTGTACTAAGAGATGATTTCGTTGTCAAACTTTTATCAAATAAATATCTTAGTTGAAGGCATTTTTGACTGAAATTTGTAGAAAAACTCATGTGCTGAAGAAAACTTAACTCATAAAAGATTAAATCAAAACACACATATTTAGCATCCTAAAAACTATTTGTACAAATTTCAAAAGCAATGTAATGCGGTACATTGCTTTTCGAAAAAGATATATTCAAAATTTGATCATTTTTACGGCCTTGAAGCCCTGTACCTCGAAAACAGAATAGCCATAGTCCATATCTATGTTTACTGGCCCCCTGATTCTATGGCACCTTGATTCAAAACATCGTATATTATTAAAAAATATAAAAACTTACCCCATATCCTACATCCTTATCATTCTTATTATCTAAAGATTGTAGAACCTCAGGCGCAATATAATCTGGAGTTCCCACAGGAGGGCTAATATTTACCAAACCACTATCATTCAACTTTGCCGCAGATCCAAAATCGGCAAGCTTCAAATGTCCACAACGGTCAAGCAATACATTATCTGGTTTGATGTCCCTGTGTACATACCCCATTTTATGGAGATCCTCTAATGCTAAAACCTAAAGGCATTCATAAACATAAGTACTTATTTTAAAAAACAGACTATTTGCAATTTACCAATTCAGCGATGTAAAAAGTAGCAGCACTCTCTGGTAATGTACCTCCTTGTCTGTACAGAAGCCCTAATAAATCTCCTCCAGGATGGTATTCCATTACAAAAAACAGGTAAGTATTGTCTTGGAAAGAATACTGTAAGGAAGTCAACCATTGCGAATTACCAAAAGCCATAATATTCCTTTCTTCTTCATAGGAAGTTCTCTTTGTATCACTGTCGATCTTTCTCAGAGTTTTCATGGCATAAACATCACCAGTTTGTTTTTCTTTAACTAGGTGAACTTCGCCAAAGTGACCGCGACCAATAACGTCTTTAACTTCAAAATCAGTTATATTTACCCTAAGTCGTTTTAATTCTTTTATTGTTTCTTTATGCTTATCCACGAATTGTGCAATGTTTGCGTCGTATTTCTGTAAATTTTCCAGAGAACATTCATCATATAAAGCTTGCAAAACATCGAAAAGGCTTTCCCGGGCTAGTAAATTCGTCGAGTGTAACTTTGCAGTTTTTCCAATGATTTCAGCGTTCAGCCGAGCTATTCTAACACTCACAGGTTCTTTTGATGACTCCATAATTATCAATGAAGTAAAAAGCGATTACTGGCGAATAATTATAGCATAATTTAAAAACAAACAATCTTCCATAAGAAACCGTTACAAGACATTTAAACTGACGGACAGATAGAAAGTAGGATCAAAAATCAACGACAGCGACAGGTGGAGAATAAATAAGGGTTTTTTGGCGAGAAAACCGCTAACCCGGTTAACTATAGTTTGTTGAGGATTGACGTTTTGGCGAGAAATGTAGTTAACCCGGTTTGGCAGAGTTTGCCTAACCATCAAACCGGACTTGTGGGTTGGTTTGGATATTAAGTTAATATTTCTATCTTTGTTTATTTATTTTCTGTTTCGTACCTAGTCACTACTTCGTTTTTTAGAGGTTTGGATAGGTATAAGTTTTAGAGGTTTGGATAGGTATAAGTAATCGAGGATCCAAATAACTTTAATCGTAGATATGCATTTTCTATATTGTACTGTATAGATCTTTATTAACTTCCTTTTAGACGATACATTTACGTGGGAATAGATATTTGTGAAAAGGTAAACCCATTTTGATTTAATAACCATCTATACATTAACGTTATTTCATGGATGTGCATTTCAGATTAGGAATAACAATTATAGTATATAAGAAATAATCAAACAACTTGAGCTACGAGCACTATCATAGATTATAGGTTACGATTTTATTATTGATTAGATATCCAAACCAAAAGAATTTTTGCGAGTTCTGTCAAATGTTAACTCAAACTCTTAACACAATCAAACTCGAGCTAACCGGGTTTGATGTGGTTTGGCTCGCCAAAAAACCCTTAATCATTTTTACTTCTTGTAATCAGGTGAAAGTAAATACTACTGAGAAATTTTCATTGCAAATTTTCTAATTTTTTAATGTTTATAAGACAACCTTCAAAATTAACCCTAGAAAGATTGATAATTCTCTCATATCATATTGACATCATTTTTCATCAGCTTCACGATCATTGCTATCACATTAGAGTATTCTGCTGGAGTTTCGTTCCTTCTTGGTTAATGAAACGAAATAAATTTTTGTCGAAGCATCATCTACTGTACACTTTACCTGATGAAATCTGAGAAAAATGTATTAAAATAATTGTAGATCTT